AAATTTGGTTTACATGCGTCAACCGAAATGATTTTTATAGAATACGACTTTTTCTCCGGTAATTAAAGATGACTTCGCGAGAGTTTTTGATGATAATTAAAAGTGTGTGTCTTCACTCCTACTCATCACGCACAGTATGGAAGTCAAAGAAATACTCTTGATTACTTTGACAAATCACTTGACACAAAAGACTGGATTCATCTTAGACTTCAACAATACTGATAAAGCACTCAAACTCATCGGGTCAGAAAACTTAAGTGTTCATAGTTCGATCATACAGGCAGACAAACGGATTGCAATTGAACGACTAGTAATAACTTACTAGCCAATCTATAGTTAATCCTCATTAACTTTATTAGCAATCTCTACCGTAAAGTTTTAGTGGAACGAATATGACGGTCGTCTGTCCAAAAGTGATTAAGAAGTGACACTTTAGCTTAAAGTTTCACAACCGCATGAAGCAGGTCAAATTAACAAATGATGCTTCATTCAATTTTACAATTTGCTTTGAATTGGGTTATCACAAGTGTTATCGGTGGCAAATAGAAGAAAAACGAATTTTAACTTGTAAGTTATGGCCAAGAATGTGAGATAAACGAAACCGAACATTAATACCAATAAGAAAATGCAGGTGAAGGTTCTACAGCACTTAATTATTTTTTAAATTCAAAAATTACTCAATGCCTGGCTTTTCATTGTTTTTATTTTTAAATTTGATATATACCTGTTTTTACCGCGAAAACTCGAGAGAGAAAAACTGGTATCCCAGAGGCTTTCAGTCCAAGAATTCCTGATGGCAACTACTATCAGAAAGCCCTTCGAGAACTTTCGGTCGATGTTAACGATTCATACGAACATAACTCTACATTTTTCTGTTCTTACCCAAAAATATAAGCTGTCCTAGTTGTTTTACTTGTAATAGGGCAAAAAGTGGAAATATGACGCTTATGTTCTCCAAATTGTAGATTCGTGACAATTTTTAAAAAATATCAGCCTTTGTTGAAAAGAGTCCGTTCAAAGGCAAAATTGTTATCGATTATATTAATAAAATCAGTAATCAAAGCTCCAACACATATTTTACATTAAAGAGTTCAAATTCAATTGTGCCTGTAGGAGCCTTATGAAATTGCAAAGGTCGAGCAGTTTCCTTTGAATAAATTGTGATCACGGTATCTTTCTAGATTTGAACGATATACACTTGGTTCTAATCCGTTTCCTAGTTGGTCATACGGGCTGACTTATCTGTAGTTACTGCATTAATTTAGCATTTGAACCATATCGACATTAGCTTTGGATCGGTTTTTTTCCTTTAATGAAAGGTGCTATATATATATATGCCACGTATACTCCCCTAGTTCAGATCGATTGATAAGAAATTTTTTTTCCAACCAAAATTTTAATTCAATCATTTATGATACTATAATAACCACAAACGCTAATCACTCGTATTCAAACTTTGGTCGCGTCCTCGTGTACCGGTACACAAAGGAACGAAACATTAACGAACTGCGTCACAACTCCATGTATGGATATGAAAACAATAGGAATTCCCCCGTGTACCGGTACACCAGGACAGCCCCCAAACTTTACTGGAACAGACTTCCGTTCATCGAAAATTTAACAAACTTGGCATGACACATTGTTGAACACGGTAACTGAAAGTAACAAAATTACAAACACGCGAATGAGCATAAAATAACTTACAACGTATGAGTGAAAGTACTTGAAAACGACAAAGCAAAATAAACAAGGACGCTCACAAGACGAATGTGACCAAACCAAAAGACGAAAAAATGAAACCCAAGGCACGATATGTTCCGATATGTTTCGCAAACTAGACAACTAAACAAATAAATAACGCGCGAACAGAACATATACGATATGCAAATAAATATAACAAGTACAAAACTGGTAACTGATAAAGGACACTAATGAAGACGAGAAACTTAACGCTTAACTCGAAACTATGAAACGACAACAACAACAACAACAAATAATAACAATACAAATTTTTGCGCCTACAGCTATAAATTTACAAATTTTTGACGAATGTGCAGAGTCGAGAAACTTAAAAACGTCATTGAAAACCACATTTTACGTGAATATCTGCAGAACTAATAGCATAATTAAATATGAAGCTTTAAACCATCCCCTTCCCTTCCCCTAAAAAAGGGATTTCTCGTCACGATCTCCAGATATTTTCAAACAAAAAGGAGAAGAGAAGAAAGTACAAACTTCAACTTTGGAATACTGTTTGACGAAACACAAAATTCCAGTGGTTAAAAGTACAAGATATGCATGGCTGAACGAATATTTGAGGGAGATTGGGAAACACTGGTGAGAGAACTAGAAAAAAGAACGGGTAAAGATAAGTCGAATGGAGAAGTTGACGAAGATTGCACCTGGTAAACTTTACCGTATGACAATTCCATAAGAGCGCTTTTCGACTAAGTGTCGTAAAATCAAAGGGAGGTAAATGCATCTTAGAGCCAATGAGAACAAAAAGTAAAAAACAAGCAAACAGCCTCAAGCGCGGGAAAACGCAAGCGACCAAGTTGTGATGGTTTTAGTTTGCATTTGATTGGTTGCGAGAGTGACGCGAGTTTTTTAGACCAGTCACAGAGTGAAGTAGAGTTAAACCAAAGCAATCCCTGATTACTTTTGACACTTAATTGAAAATTGCTTTGTAATGTTATGGCTCTACCAGTTTCATTTCAACAGAGATTTCCACTGATCACGTCTAACGTAAGCGGCAAGCATAAATCTTTTGCAGTTTGCCTTTCAACCTTAAGTGCAATAATCATACTCTGAAAAATATGCCATTTGTTGTGAATAGAAGCTATTTCTTTATTTTCTGTTCGACTTATGTAAAGATTAGAAGGACTGGCAGAGCAATGTCATGAGAGAATTTAACTGTCTCGCTCTCGTGCTAACCGGAAACGTGCTAACCGGAAACGTGCTAACCAGAAACGTGCTAACCGGAAACGTGCTAACCGTGTTTGTTCTTTTCATTTTTGCGGTTGGGAACCGGCAAGACACATTACAATATATTTGAGACATATGTCTGTTATCTTCTATTTAAATGAAGTTTTCAAAGAGTGGTATTACAGGTCTGTTAAACAATTCACAAACGCAGCTTCAAAATTAACCTTTGAGTACTCTCGATCGCTGCTTTTTGTGTTTTGTAGCTATTTTCGACTTTTCTTTCATCAAGGTAGGCGTGGATATGAAATTAAATTGATTAAAAAGTTTATTTATTTAAGATCACTATGCACTAGTATACCTATTTGCTAAGAAGCGCTCCGGTTTGCTCGCGGGCTACTGACCTTCAGTTCACTTAATCAAGAACAGCATCATATGAACTTATGCCCAGTTTTCCTTTATTCTCGCTATTGTAAGATCTTCGCGAGAGCCAACAGCTCTTTCAACGAACTGTTTATTTTCAATGAATTTTTCTCCATATTTGATTAGCGGTTTTAAAGTGGAAAGGTGAAATTCCCCGGTTACCATAGACACCGCCATAAACTCAGACGTAAAAGCCGAGTTTTGATCAGGTATGTTTTTATTCATTCCTATGAACACAAGAATTGAGTAATGTTTTCTTTCTTTATAAAGTTCCTTATGAGAAAAAAATTTTAAATAACAACCAAATAAAAACAAAAGGCCCTAACCCGCACCAGGAAATCGTATAAACATAAATTACTAATCGTTTTTTCAAGGAAATTAACACCAGTTTTATTTGTACGTTAGTGGACCGACATTGGCTATCGTCACCTAACATTGGCTATCGTCAGCCAACGTTGGCTATCGTCAGCCAACATTAGCCATTGTCAATCACCATCGGCTATTATCAAAGACCCTTGATATGTTCATCACGGTATGCACCTTTAAACCCGTCTTTTGAAATTGCAACACATTCCGTAATTCTTCCTTTGAAAAATGGTAGGTTTTGTAGCTGAAAAGCACGTAAAAGAACAGAGAAATTTTTACTGCTACGCGCATGTTTTTTTCTTATTTTACTAAAATAAATTAAGATATTAGCAATGATTCATCCGGAATATTGATATCTAGTTCGTTTATCATTGCTTGCTCTCCTCGGTCAGAAATTGTTTTATTAAATTAAGTTTACCTTTTACCTTCTCTCATCAATGAATACGTTTCAACATTTTCATTGTTTCTCACATCACGTGATCTTTTAATCTTCTGCATGGCCAAGTGTTGAAAAGTTTTCACCAAATCAGTGAATTGCCTCTTAGATTACGACTTCAGGTTTTAATTAAAATATCTTGTAAAAGATTTCAATATCTGTAACGAGGATGGTAAATGTTTTTTGAAATTGAAATTTACAGTCCTCGTTTACGTGATCATTGTGCAAAAAGTGTCACTGACATATCGACATTCCTGTTCCAGTGCTATTGCAGGAAATTTGCCGCCATATGGAACTACTTACACGGTGGCAGAGCGTCCGTCCGACCGGAAAGTCCTAGGTTCGAATTCTAGCGGGAATACTCGAAATTCTTTTTATTCGAGTATGCAGGTGTCATTTGCTGATTGATGTCATCTTTCATTTCCATTTCTGTTTACATTTTGCTGTGAAAAAGGATGTAGGCAGCATATGATGTTTTAACTTGGTGAATGACCACTATGTTAAATTGAATAAAAGATATTGAGGTTTAAACAGCAAGAAAGACTTATTCAGTCTTATATGAAAGACTTGAACTGCGAGAGAAACGAAACGCAGTTGGATGTTTCTTACTTTATTCATTTTTCTTTTAAAAAAGTGAACCTATAACAGTTTTAAACATACTTTTACGCTTAACTAAAACTTAGTGAAAAAATTAGCCGAAACATTGAATAATTGATTCCACTATGTCAGAAGCTGGAATGCTTCGATAAAGATCCACTATGAATTCAACTTGTTCTCAAATAGTGAACGCAATTCATTTGCTGATAACTACCGAAGACTTCCGGACTTAAATCTTTCAAAATTGTTTAAGTTATCAAAAACAACAACGAAAAGTATACTTCATCGCTGTACCAATCTCACGGATTCGCCAGCAATATAGCACTGGGTTTAAAGACGAATTGAGTAAAAGTATCATGGACGTTATTCCTAGAATATTAGGCCGGAAAACGTTGCTCATTATCATTATGGAATGCGGCATGTAGCAACAAATGAGTAAAATGCACACGAGAAATGTGTTTATGGTAGATTTCCTCATTTTACGAAAAATGTTTTCTTCACGGGGCTGTTGTTGTTGTGGCTGCTGCTGTTGTTGTTGATGTGCTATCTGCAATCGATGGCGCCTAACAATGAGATAGATTTTCAAATAGACAAAAAAATTTACAGCTAGAGACACAAATGTCATGGAAGACAAAGATAGATAACATTGTTCGTTAGTCCACAGCCTTGTAGATGATAAGATACCCGAGATTATCCAAATTGCAGTTACTGCCCAGGTGATACGAAGCGGCGTTACAACAGCTTTGTACCTCAAATGCAATTGAAGTGCGAGGAGGCGGTCGATGCCGATTGCCGTCGTGGTGGTAAAAGACGCAGTGCATAGAAAGATGCCTAGAAACTCAAACACTATTACAGTTCGAGAATGAAACGTTGCGTTTGTTAAAACCAATGTTATATAGAATGGTTCAATGAGCAAACCCACAAAAAGGTCTGAAACCGCAAGACTTGCTAACAAAACATTTGCTGCTGAATGTAAAGAAGGCGTCCTCCACAGAGCCAGTAGAATCGCAATGTTACCGAAGGAAGCAGTGATACAGAAGATGACATTCACTGCACAAAATGCTATTACATAATGAAGTCTGTTTTCGTAATCTAATCCTATGACGAAGTCGGAGATTTTCTCGAATTTCGACGCACTGTTGTGTTGATAATTGTTGGAGGACTGCGTTGCATTAATCATCACGTCTGCTTTCATCACAGCCCTACTTTTTCTTGGGCTGTTTGTGTTTCCCACCACTGTATATGTGATTTAAAAAATATGGAAAGGGACATTTAAATATTCATAGCTAACCTCCAACGTTCTCCTTCTTTGTGCTTTGTGTTCAGTTAAAAAGTAAACTTAATTTAAATTTATATTGCAGTTGACATGGGGTTTTCATAAGGACAAGAGGTTCCTCTTAACAAAATCATCCACGGAGCTGGATTGGCTTTCAATTTCGAATGTGACCTCAAAGAAGCGCAAACCAATACAGAAAAGTATTTTATGGAACCAGGTCTGTGGCTTGTTTCATTCTTATCTTCAGTTTGTCATGGTCCTCCCTCGACAAGTATCTTCATTCGCATTTTAGAGATATGATTTAAAATACACTATTTTCATCTGTTTCACACTGTTAAGGAAGTGGCCATGAGAGATGGTGCTAGTTTCTAAATTTTTGAAAATTGTCGGCGGCTGGTATCGACGATGTAGCAGCCATTTAGCGCATCCTGCATATGAAAGTTTGCAAAAAACACGAAAACCGAGATTGAAAGGTATAGCGTCGCTCTCAATGAACAAGCATCTTTGATTAAAAAATATCGATAAAGGGAGAGGACATGTTTGTTTTTTCAGGAAGAGACTGAGCTCAAATTATTTTATTGGATTTCAATTATATTAACGTTACGAGTGTTAAAAGCTGATGATTAAAATGGTACACGTTCGTTAAAGTAGCTATCCAACGCAGCATAACACTTCCAATTTCGAATTCTATAGAAATCTGTAACCTTGAACGCAAAATCAAGGCACAATCTTTAGGAAAAGGAGTTATTTTTGTGTTAATCTACACGCCCTCTGTACATGATGAGAAGAAACAGGCAGTAGGCTTGTTTGTTCATACTTCAGCAATGCATAACGATATTCTTGAAAGTCTTAATTAAAAATCTGTAATTTAATCTGAAGGCTGAAGAAAATTGAAAGACCAAATCTAACTGAATTAAGAAAATCCGTGATTGAAAAATTAACACCAGTCCTCTCTTCAAATTCACAAATTTATATGATAAAAGTCCGTTAGGTGGACATAAGAAATCAACTTTGAATAAGCCTTAACTTAACCTATTTCAATCTCAACTCTAGAATCTTCGCCATGCAAATATTCTTCAACCTCGTTCTCAGGTTCGCTCTCTTCAGTTTCAATTAAATTCATTGCACGTGTAAATTTTTCAGCTCATTTACATTTTATGGTTCCTCGTGGTCTGAACTGTTTCACGCCACGGAAATTTAACGTCCAAATGCCGGAGCCAGAAACACTAAGGAGTTTCTTTGCTTATGCTGGCAGGCTTTACCGACATGGATTGACCTTTCACCACAAAACTGTTTCTTTTTTTTTGCAACAAAAACGAGGTAAGAATGAGAATGAATTCAACTTGAAAGTTTTTGAGCGGCGCTGTATAAAGTTGAGACAGTTTTATAGGAACGATGGAAGAGTCTCAGACTAGTTCTTCATAACCAGTGCCGCTTTCAGGTCTCCGTTCATAATTTCAATAGCAAATTTCTCAGTTAGTTTGTATTAGTTGTATCAGTTCATCTAGGCTAGGAAGAAGTTTAGTGTAACGCATATTTTTCGCTTAGTGGTGCATTGAAAGATCCCTAGTTGTAATGCAGAAAACATTAGTATTTCAATTTCTTCATACTGTTCTCTGTACGTTTTCTATGAAAGAATTTGCTTGATAATCAAGAGCTTCCTGACCTCGTCATCAGCACCTTGATTCTAATGACTTAAATCCTTAATTCAAGGGTGATACTGTAAGGAGAAATTAGATGCTTATCACTTTTAGGGGTAAAAACGTTAATAAAAACATGAACCGTTTAAATTCTTAAACCAGTATTGTGTAACTCATGGAGCCAAGACAATTTTAACTGTAATTTTTTTTTGCACGTTTTAGTTGAACTGCCATAAAGATAAATAATAACAAAGCATATGAGGAGACAGAGAGGGAACGAAAGCAAAGAATTGCATTAAGGTAAGAGACATTCTTTAAAAAAAATTAATAATAATAATAATAATAATAATAATAAAAGAACAGGTTCATAACATAAACATGTGGTTACTCTTCATGAGAACCTGTAGCTATATCAATGTATGTGGAAAATCTCAGTTGAACAAATATGCCAAAAATAGCTTGTTAAGTGATGGGTTAATTGTGGAGACCAGTTGAAAGTTTTCATTTGTGACGATAAGCTTTCCGCCCCAAAACTGGAGGACTGACACTTCGCGGACGGAACAATAACAACTGGGGGAAATAACTCTGTAGAGACGACTCGGCAGCGAGAACGGAAACTCGTCACACAAATCGCAATATTTGAATAAGGACACAAAGGAGCGGAAAAATATCTCTTTGAAGTTAAACGAAAACTACTTAAATATTCCATCTGTTTCTACGACGGAAAGAACCACAAAATTAAAAAGACGGATGCAATAAACTCTAGGCCATTAAAGTAGGAAACCTAGGTGCGAATTTACAGCTCTGATATAGAAAACAATACCTATCTTAATTGCAGTAGCGCAGCTCAGGAAATAAAAAAAAGGAAAAGCAATTAAAAGTTTCTGCTTATTTATGCAAGGTTGGTTTGGAAACCATCGCATGAAAAGAAATTAAATTTACGCGTTTAAACTCAGCTGCTATCTACCATGAAAACCAATGTTTCCAGAAAGACCATTAACACTTATATTTACCTAAAAAAACCATGAAATAAAAAACAAAAGTGCCGACAACCAGTGCATATGATGAAAGCGAGTAACAACAAAAATCTATTCAAAAGCTACTGTGATTTTTATGCATATTTTTGATTTATTGAAATGAAAGGACTTGAAATGGTTAAATGTAAAAGTTTACGAATAAATATGCTCCGAATAACACACACGGGAAAATCAGTAAATTTTCCCGTAACACATTGCGTGTGGAAAATAATTTTACAAATTCTAGTTTGTTTGAAAGCCATTATGGCTCTTTTGATAGACCTCTTGAGATTGCATGTTTTTACCTATTCCAAGGGAATTCTCTATCATGGTGAATCATGCGTATACAAATGCACGTAAATAAGAGGAAATCTGAAAGAAGCCGTTCTCTAACTGTAGTAGGGAACTTAAGCAGTCAGGACGGCAATGCTGAGGAAGACCTCGATTAAAAAATGAATTTCTGCCTGTAATTAGAATTTCAAAAATGGCTGCATTTGTTTACCATCTCATACGGCACCACACCTCAACTTCAGCATAACGTATAAAAGAAGCGTTAAGTTCCAAATGGAAATTAAAATAATTTACCGTCGCGGTTTCGGTTCGCAGACAACTCAAATTGTAGTGATTTCACGTTGTTGTTTTGCACGGGACGGCTAAGAAATGTACAAAGTTTTAAAACGCACGTGCCGAGCTATTGTTCTGCCCATTAGTTCTTTTGTTTTTCCATGTTCTCGTTGCCGTCGCCGTCGTGGTTTGTTTAAGGTCTCTGGTGTTATCATATGACTGGAAATGGGTAAACAACACTTACAAGCTAAAGAGTTGTATTGTTCTGTAATTTGGAAAATTACAACAATGAAATTTTAAAAGCTAAGAAGTCAAGGAAATGCAACGAGATCATTTAAAATGAAGAGTAAAAAAGATTATTTTGTACGGTAAAAGATGATGAGAAACATTTTAAAAATTAAACTTTTCTCTTGATCGTTAGTCACTTTTAAGTTTTAATAGTTCGAGCTTGTGAATTTTCGTTCGAAAGAAAATAGGAAATTATCAATAAACATGTTGATAAGATTTCTGCACAGCCCCAAGCTTCATTATGCATACAGTTTTCGGAGACAGAAAACAGTGGCGAGAACAATCGATTGCTTTTGGGACTACAGCTTTGTTTTAGACTAGGATGAGGCTGTGCAGAAATCTTATCTAAAACTCTAATGGCCGTTTCTAGCTTTTGCGATAAATCTTAGAAATTCTTAAATATTTTTCCAATTTTTCCCAACTTTTCAAGATGATTTAATCATTCATATGAAAGAAAGTAATGAGCGACGGTATTTTAATTTGTATTAGATGACATTTCGTCCGGCACCACCGATAAAGAATGATCGGAATGCAAACAAAATTTTTGCCACGCGTTAAAAATTGCGAACAATCAGCTTAATTGTTCTGAGACGCTAACTTTTCATCCCAAAAATTTAAGTAACCTTGTTGCATGCCATTGAGAATATGTTATTTCAGCGCAGGAAATTGTCATTAGTTTCGTAAATTCTGAAGGGCGTTTACGTAAGTTAAGCGCAAGGGGAAGGCGTGTCTTCCGATCACGTCGTTCTAAATCTTCGAATACATGTGACGCACGCTTTGTTCGCACATTTTTTGATGGAGGCAGAGACCGATTATCATACCATTTTGGGCGACGTAATTAATTAGCTTGAAAATTTAGAAACACCTTAGTTTTATTAAAATAATATTTTGCAGTTCACACTCGTACGAATTTTCATCCACGAGAAACGACCGCGGAAAGATTTTCGCATAACCTCATAAAATTCTAAAACAAAGTTGTCGTTCCTAAAGCAAACTATTGTTCTCGCCTGATCATTTGGATTGATCAACCAACACAGTTAGCTTGTTAGCTCAGTTGGTAGAGCACTACAACGGTATCGCAGAGGTCATGGGTTCAAATCCCGTACAAGCCTGAATTTTTTTTTTTTCAGGCCTTCCTTTCACTACTGCTTAAGTAGTGTTCATAACTGCTAAGATCGCTTTCATATTCATGAGTTGATAAAGTAAATTGGCCACCATGAAGAGTTTATACAAGAGGTTATAATCTCTTGAAATTAATAAGGAGAACCCTTTACAACATCAGTATCCATCTTCTCCATACTCTTCCCTATACTTTTCCTGAGGTACTCGTAAGGAGAATTCAAAGCTTCATGGGTTTTGCGATCATTTCCGTTATTCTCAGGATTCAAGACAATATAAACAGTTGATATTCTCTTGCATGATTTTAATGAATGATTAAGCAGTATCCCTGTAAGGAGAAACTAGAAGCTGGTCACTCTTTGGGTTTTAAAAGGTTTTTAGTAGTGCTTTAACACGCAGATAATAAAGACCTCAACGCTTCACGCAGAATGAAAATGTCATCTTGTGGTGATCGTCAACTCTGAACAAACAGCTAGAGAGGCGGAGAAAAAGTGTCCATATCATGATGATCACCTTTATTTTGTAAGCAAGTTTTGTTCTTGCGTATTTTAACAAGTGTGTTTGTTTTGTCTTGCAGTTCTTTTAACGTCTGTGGCTGAAGCCAAACACAAGCAAGGTGAAACAGGAAAAGATCGAAAAATTTGAACAGGAAAGACAGTTGGAAATTAATATTAGAGGTAAAACCTATAACCAAGCAAAGTCAACTTCGTATCGGGAGTAGCTACAGGATTGTTGTAAAACAAATTCAAAATGCTGTTGCCGAACCAAAACACCGCTTTACAAATTTTAGTCTCATTAAGAATTAATCATATGTTGTCAAGGAAAATTCACAATTTCACCCAAGTTACTTTTTTTTGAAAACTGATTTCGTCGGTAGCCTAAAATAATTTGGCAAAAGGTTAGGTTGAGTTTATTAGAAGCACCAAAAGCGAGAGATTTTTTTTGTGCAACTTGTAATTATCCTACGTCGCAAGATTTTTTTGCTTTTTCCTGTTTGCCATTTGACTTTCTCATCAAAAATTTTAGCATTTCTAATGCATTGATAGATATCAGACATGTTGTATTGTAGCTCAGTTCAACAACTGTCTTTGGAAATTTGAAAATGTTCCAACGATGTCAGTTATTCCTAGTGCTTGTCAGACTTATTCTAGTCTTTTTATTAAGTTTTTCGAGATCTTAAATTAATCTTGGCGCTTTTCAGACTTTATTACTTTGTCTTAGTTCTCCGTTGAAATTTACTTAGCTATAATGCATTTATGCTTATCAACTGTAAACACTTTCACTTGTCAATAAAGAGTTGTAAAAATAGAAATAAATAAAACTTACAAGCAAATAAGATTTGTGTTTTCACTTTATTATCTTTCATTGCCTTAAAAATGATAAAAAATTGCGCTTTTAAAAGGGCCTGGTAACAAGTCAAAATATAGGCTATCTCTTTTAAAAAAATTTTGCGTTTGGAGGGTTACTGAGAGGAAAAAAATTCTGCGGATTTGAACAGCGTCCGGTGCAAAACAAAAAATATACAGAACTTTTAATGGGAGAAAATCAATCGCTTCAAGTGAGATTTTTTCCCGCCAAAAGACTTGGTTATTTTTTGGTCAACATCAGACACCATTCCACCATTTTTTTTCTATGGACAGATTTCCCACCTAAAGATTTAAGAGTTTTTTGATAAAAGTTTTTCCTGCAAAGAGACCTACTTTTTTTTTTTCAAATTGTACCTAGGCCTTTCAAAAGCGCAAATTATGCAATCGATGGTTTTTGACGCAATCATGGCTCTGCAGCACGCTATGTTTCTCTAACTCATGAATCCAAAGAGAAGGTCTGAGAAACTTTATTTAATTCAATACATGTCTCGAATCTTCTTGCATCACCTTAAGTTCAAATCTGAAAGAAAAAGAAGAAATAATTCAATGACATGTTTCCGCGTATTCTCTTCAGCGAAGTGATCACTAAGCGCTCCTTTAGAAAATTCAGTTTCTACTTGCACTCTGCATCCATCTGTATCATTTATAAACTTCTTGATGGGATTCTGTTACGGCTCTTGTTACGATAAATTAAATCTTAACAAACGAAGGAATATTAAGTATTGTGTTCAAATCAAGAGAAAATAAAGTCCCCTTATTTTTTCTTGGTTTAAATTCATGACGAAGCAAGTTAGCAGTTTTGAAGCTAGTTGCATTGAACTACAAAACTGATCCAGAAAATCAGATTTTATTGAATTTTAAAAGTGCACAAAGTTTGCCGTTCACGTGAAAATATTCATCAGTGATAAAGAAAATATGGTACTGAATATCTCTGTACTCCTTTTCCTAATATTCCTTCTCCACTTTAGTTCAAGGAAGCGATAAAATATTCAACAAGTTGAAAGAAACGGCAATGAAATTAATGCAACAATAATTATGATCGGTTACTTTGACAAGTTGTATCTATAATTTCTTCAGAACAATCACCTCAACTCTTTTTAATCCAGGATTTTTTGGGGGGTGACTGTTGAATGCACTGATCAGCTATTTTCAGTTTGTTGACTACTACATTACGACAGAATGGGTTTTCAAAGCTTTATTTTTCTCTTTTCGGCGCCTGGCTTAAATCTAGTTCGTGACACAATCATCACCTTGGGCAGAAATAATTTTGATTGCACCAAAATCTATTTCTTTCGAATTTCTCTCAATTCCCAACGTTTGCCAAAGCAAATTTTAAATACGTGACCTTTTCAACACGTTGACAGAACCGAAAATGTTACTTCTAGGCGACTCGAAACACTTTTCGATCGAGTGTCGTAAAACCTCAACCATACTTATCATTACGCCAATCAGAGCGAAGGATTATATTACAAGCGGCTAACGAGAACTCAAAGTGAAAACAAGCAAACTGCCCAAAGGGCGGGAAAACGTGCGTTACCGAGACGCGGTTGGTTTCAATTCTGCGTCTGATTGGTTGAGCGGGTTAGGCTAGTTTTCTTGACGAATCACATAACGTAGTGTAGTAAAAACATTGCAATCCTGGATGACTTTTGAGGCTTAGTACAAAATTAATAAATCGTTAAATATTAAGGTGCCCTGTCAAAGTCTAAACCTTTCCGTGTCTTTCTTTCTCAACCATCTTTACAGCGTGTTGATCAAAAACTGTAACCGTCATTTTATTTAGCTTTCGATTCTTCGAGACACACACGAGGTCAAATATCATTGCCAAGGTGACGTTTAGAGAATTCAAACATTTTTATCCCCAACCTGCTCACAACACTCGTTTAAGTGTCACTTTTTGGTTTGTTTTGTTGCAACAAGACCTTGAAAAAATCACAAAGATAAACGTGTGAATGGGATGCATCGACACAGTAGATGCCCCAGAACGTGCTGATCAATTGGAAGCCTCAACATCTCCCTCGGGCAACCCACAGGCATTTGACTGTCGTCCGCGCCCGGGGGTGGGGAATTCGAACATTGCGTGGGGGTGGGGGTTGAACCAGCAAGAATACGCATGTTTTCAAATTTAAATATGGGGGAAGTTAAAAGTAAAGAGTCTGCTTTCGCGAGTAAATAGCTTAAAGGAAAATGTTTACATCGTGGAATGATGCTTAGAGGGGCTAGGCAATATCCAAAAGCGGTTACGAAAGCTGATACGCGTGGCTTTGCTAATTGAATTCTGCAAAATTTGTTGATCAATTGCAAACAAAGAATCGTTCCAAAAAAATTACTCTTTGAGTGGGCATTTGAACGCAATTTTGGCCTCCGTGACGAGAATTGGAACGAATCAATCTTCTTAAGTTCAAAGGCTAGGGGGTTGCCGAAGGGGGGGGGGGGTGAAGTTGAAGCTACGAATTTATCGACACATAACGTATTGCCTTGAAACAAGTGTCTTTATAAAGGGATCGGTTTCAGAGCTTGCTGAGCATAAAGTAATTTCGTCTAAGATTGTAAACAGTCCTGTCAATTATTTAAAGTGGTAAAAATAGGAGTGTTACTGTGCACATAAATATAACTCTTCAAACAAGTGTCGGCTAATTCTGACGCTGATTGCAGGTAATTATAACCGATAAGCTACAACATTTATTCAGATACTGTCAATATCGTTTCATACCAAATATTGAATTTATTCAGATACTATGAGCATTTGGGACTTGTAACGACGAATTTTCTGACCAAAAACTGTTATTTAGGGCAAGTAACTTCAACCAAGCAGACTAGCAAAATTCTGAGCACCACGTGTGTAGATACTGATTGAACTGAAATGAATAATTATTGAATGGAAAGATATTTGCAATTCAAATCAAACATTCCATGAGCCTCGCCATCAGTATCCAAAATGATAAAGTAAGGATGTGATTTCAACGAGTGAAAATTTTTCTTCCTAAATAAACCTGTTGGGCAGATAATTTGTATTTTGCATCTTTACCTGAAATTTCCAGACTTGTTTAATAACCACGCAAATTTTAATTGATAGGAACCCGTTATATTGAGCTTTTTTGAGTTGTTTAAGTGACACTTTGTTAAAGTAAAAAGTTTTCCGCATCCCAAGCCCCTCTGAGCGTGTGAAATAGTACGCTTAAGAAAATCAGAGGTTTGAAGTGCAAAGTTTCTACCCACTTAATTAATATATACAGTTGACTTTTTAAGACTCCAACTCTTGATAGACCGAAGTGTTTTATTTATTTCCATTTTTGTAATTTGAGTGTCAGTTTTCACCTTTGCAAATCCATCACTCTTTGATAAACCTTGAGAGTTTGAGTTAATGAGCGTCAACTCTAGTCCTCTTAGTAGACACAGAATTTTCAATAAGCTTTCACCAAAGTAATCCCAACCCCTCAAACCAAAAGTTTATTGGCAACCTCTCTCAGTTAAAGTCAATAATATGTGGTAAATTACAGATTGATTATTCCGACTTAAAATGTGTGTGCATTTCAGAGCATTGTTCAATTGAATGCTAATCGCAATCTGAGATTTCTTTGGCCTTGCTTTGTTTTAATCTGTTTGTTCTGAAAAGCTCTCGCCAGTCTCTCGCTACCTTTGTCCTGACTACCTTTTGTAGTTATTTCTACTTTTTTCATGACCCTCAGTCGAGAGGTCATTGTGCAAAAAGTATCCCTGACATATCGATATTCCTGTCCCAGTGCTATTGCAGGAAATTTGCCGCCATATGGAACTACTTACACGGTGGCAGAGCGTCCGTCCGACCGGAAGGTCCTAGGTTCGAATTCTAGCGGGAATACTCGAAATTCTTTTTATCCGAGTATGCAGCTGTCATTTGCTGATTGATGTCAGCTTTCATTTCCATTTCTGTTTACATTTTGCTGTGAAAAAGAATTTGGGCGGCATATGATGTTTTAACTTGGTGAATGACCACTATGCTAAATTGAATAAAAGTTATTGAGGTTTAAACAACAAGAAAGACTTATTCAGTCTTATATGAAAGACTTGAACTGCGTGAGAAATGAAACGCAGTTGGATATGTTTCTTACTTTATTCATTTTTTTTAAAAAAGTGAACATATAACAGTTTTAAACATACTTTTATGCTTAACTAAAACTTAAAAGATTAACCGAAACATTGAATGATTTATTCCACTATGTCAGAAGCTGAAATGCTTCGATAAAGATTCACTGTGAATTCAACTTGTTCTTTAATAGTGAACGCAATTTATTTGCTGATAACTACCGAAGACTACTGGACTTAAATCATTTTAAAATATTTAAGTTATCAAAAACAACAACGAAAAGTATACTTCATCGCTGTACCAATCTCACGGATTCGCCAGCAATATAACATTGGGTTTAAGGACGAATTGAGTAAAAGTATCATGAACGTTATTCCTAGAATATTAGGCTGGAAAACATTGTTCATTAATAATATGGAATGCGGCATGTAGCAACAAATGAGTAAAATGCACACGAGAAATGTGTTTACAGCAGATTTCCTTATTTTACGAAAAATGTTTTCTTCACTGAGCCGTTGTTGTTGTGGTTGCTGCTGTTGTTGTTGATGTGCTATCTGCAATCGATGGCGCCTGACAATGAGATAGATTTTCAAATAGACAACAAAACTCACAGCTAGAGACACAAATGTTATGGAAGACAAAGTTAGATAAAATCTTGTGGTAGTCCACAGCCTTGTAGATGATAAGATAACCGAGATTATCCAAATTGCGATTACTGCCCAGGTGACACGAAGCGGCGTTACAACAGCTTTGTACCTCAAATGTAGTTGAAGTGCAAGGAGGCGGTCGATGCCGATTGCCGCTGTGGTGGTAAAAGACGCACTACACAGAAGGATGTTTAGAAACTCAAACACTATTAAAGTTGGAGAATGAGACGGTGGGTTTGTTAAAACCAATGTTATATAGAATGGTTCAATGAGCAAACCTACAAAAAGGTCTGACACCGCAAGACTTGCCAGCAAAATATTTGCTGCTGAATGTAGAGAGGGCGTCCTCCAAAGCGTTAGTAGAATCGCAATGTTACCGAAGGAAGCAGTGATACAGAAGATGACATTCACTGTACAAAATGCTATCACATAATGAAGTCTGTTTTCGTAATCTAATCCTATGCCGAAGTCGGAGATTTTCTCGAATTTCGACGAGCTGTTGTGTTCAGAACTGTTGGAGGACTGCGTTGCGTTAATCATCTCGTCTGCTTTATTCACAGCCCCGCCACTGTATATGTGATTTAAAAAATATGGAAAGGGACATTTAAATATTCATAGTTAACCTCCTACGTTCTCCTTCTTTGTGCTTTGTGTTCAGTTATAAGGTAAACTTAATTTAAATGTATATTGCAGTTGACATGGGGTTTTCATAAGGACAAGAGGTTCCTCTTAACAAAATCATCCACGGAGCTGGATTGGCTTTCAATTTTGACTATAACCTCAAAGAAGCACAAACCAATAGAGATTAGCATTCTGTGGCTTGTTTCATTCTTGTCTAATTTGTCATGGTCCTCCTTCGACAAACATCTTTATCCGTATTTCAGATATATGATTTTCACATACTCTGTTTTCATCTATTTCACACTGTTAAGGATGTGGGAGATTGTACCAGTTTCTAAATTTCTTCGATTTTTTGAAAACTTTCCCCGACTGGTTTCGACGATGTAATAGCCATTTAGTGTATCCTGCATATGAAAGTTTGCAAAAAACGCGAAAACCGAGATTGAAAGGGATTGCGTCGCTCACAATGAACAAGCATCTTTAATTAAAATATCGATAAAGGGAGAGGGCAGGTTTGTTTTTTCAGGTGGAGATTGAGCTCAAACTATTTGATTGGATCTCATTTATATTAACGTTACGAATGTTAAAAGCTGATGATTAAAATGGTACACGCTCGTCAAAGTAGCTGTCCGAAGCAGCACAATACTTCCAATTTCGAATTCTTTCGAAATCTGTAACCTTGAACGCAAAATCAAGGCACAATCTCTAGGGAAAGGAGTTATTTTTGAGTTAATTTACACGCCTTCTGTAGATGATGAGAAGAAACAGGCAAATGCTGTGGGCTTGTTTGTTCATTCTTCAGCAATGGATGATGATATTCTTGAAAGTCTTAATTAAAAATCTGTTATTTAATCTGAAAGCTAAAGAAAATTGAAAGACCAAATCTATCTGAATTTAGAAAATCCGTGACTGAAAAATTAAGACCAGTCCTATCTTAAAATTCACAAATTTATATGATAAAAGTCCGTTAGGTGGACATGAGGAATCAACTTTGAATAAGCCTTTACTTAACCTATCTCAATCTCAACTCTGGAATTTTCGCTATGCAAATATTCTTCAACCTCGTTCTCAGGTTCGCTCTTCAGTTGCACTTAAATTTATTGCAAGTGTAAATTTTTCAGCTCATTTACATTTTATGGTTCCTCGTGGTCTGAACTGTTTCACTCCACGGAAATTTAACGTCCAAATGGCGGAGCCAGAAACATTAAGGAGTTTCTTTGCTTATGCTGGCAGGCTTTACCGACATGGATTGACCTTTCACCACTAAGCTGTTTCTTTTTTTTGCAACAAAAACGAGGTAAGAATGAGAATGAATTCAACTTGAAAGTTTTTGTGCGGCGCTGTATGAAGTTGAGAGAGTTTCTTATGAACGATGGAAGAGTCCCAGACTAGTTCTTCATAACCAGTGCCGCTTTCAGCTCTCCGTTCATAATTTTAAAAGCAAATTCCTCCGTTAGTTGTATTAGTTGTATCAGTTCATTTAGGCTAGGAAGAGGTTTAGTGTAACACATATTTTTCGCTTAGCGGTACATTGAAAGATCCCTAGTTGTAATGCAGAAAACATGATTAGTATTGCAAGTTCTTCATACTGTTCTCTATACGTTTTCTATGGCACGCACAAGAAGAATTTGCCTGATAATCAAGAGCTTCCTGACCTCGTCATCAATACCTTGATTCAAATTACTTTAATGTTTGATTCAAGGGCGATACTGTAAGGAGAAATTAGATGCTTTGAGATGAGCCGCTTAAATTCTTAAACCAGCGTTATGTAACTCATGGAGCCAAGATAATTTTAACTGTTGTTTTTGCACTTTTTAGATGCACTGCCATAAAGTTGAATGCTAACAATGCATATGAGGGAATAGAAAGGGAACGAAAGCAAAGAATTGCACTAAGATAAGAGACATTTAAAAAAAAAAAAACTGCAACAACAACAGGCTCATAACATAAACATGTGGTTACTCTTCATGAGAACGTGTAGCTATATTAATGTATGTGGAAAATCTCAGTTGAAAAAATATGCCAAAAATAACTTGTTAAGGGTTGGTTTTACTATGGAGGCCAGTTGAAAGTTTTCATAGCAGTGTGGAAAATAATTTTCCAAATTCTATGTTTCAAAGCCATAATGGCTCTTTAATAAACCTCTTGAGCTTGTACGTTTTTACCCATTTCGGGTCCCAAGGGAATTCGTTATCATTGTAAATCATGCGTACATATGCGCGTAAATAAGAGGAAATCTGAAAGAAGCCGTTCTCTAGCTATAGTGTTTCCACATGACTGGAAATGAGTAAACAACACGTACAAGCTAAAGAGGTACATTGTTCTGTAATTTGGAAAACTACAACAATGAAATTTTTTAAAGAAATCAAGGAAATGCAACAAGATCATTTGAAGAGTGAAAAAAGAGTATTTTGTACGGTAAAAGATGATGAGAAACATTTTAAAATTTGAACTTTTCTCTTGATCGTCAGTCACTTTCGAGTTTAATTGTTCGAGCTTAAAAATTTTCGTTCAAAAGAAAATAGGAAATTGTCCATAAAATGTTGATAAGATTTCTGCACAGCCCCAAGCTTCATTATGTATACAGTATTTCGAGACAGGAAACAGTGACGTAAACAATAGATTGCTTTTGGGACTACCGCTTTGTGTTAGACTAGGATGAGGCTGTGCGGAAATCTTATCTAAAACTGTATTGGCCGTTTCTAGCTTTCGCGATAAATCTTAGAAATTCTTAAATACTTTTCCAATTTTTTCCCAACTTTTCAAGAATGATTTAATCATTCATGTGAAAGAAAGTACCGAACGAAGGAAATTTAATTTGCATTAGATGACATTTCGTCGCTAACTTACGCCACCGATAAAGAATGATCGGAATGTAAACAAAATTTTTGCCACGCACAAAAATTGCGAAAAATCAGCTTTATCGTTCCGTGACGCTAACTTTTTTATCCCAAAATTTTAAGTAACTTTGTTGCATGCCAGCGAGAATATGATGTTTTCGGGAAATTGTCATTAGTTGCCGTAAATTCTGGAGGGCGTTTACGAAAGTTAAGCACAGGGGAAGGTGTGCCTTCCAATCACGTCGTTCTAAAACTTCGAATACATATGACGCACACTTTGTTCGCACATTTTTCGATGGAGGCAGAGACCGATTATCATACCATTTTGGGCGACGTAATCAATTAGCTTGAAAATTTAAAAACACCTTAGTTTCATTAAAGTAATATTTTGCAGTTCACACTCGTACGAATCTTCATCGACGAGAAACGATCTCGGAAACATTTGCACATAACCTCATAACATTCTCAAACAAAGTTGTCGTCCCGAAGGCAATCTATTGTTCTCGCCTGATCATTTGAATTAATCAACTGAGTTGATAATGCAAATTGGCCACTATGAAGATTTTTTAAACGAGTTTATATTTTCTTGAGACTTATAAAGAGAACCCTTTACAACCTAGTATCCGTATCCATCAGTAGTCTCCATACTCTCCCTATACTTTTCCTGAGGAACTGACAAGGAGAATTCGTTTCTGCTATCATTTCCGTTATTCTCATGATCCAAGAGAATATAAACAGTTGATATTCTCTTGCATGATTTTAATGAATGATTGAGCAGTATCACTGTAAAGAGAAATTAGAAGCTGGTCACTCTTTGGGTTTAAAAGGTTTGGATGTTCGGCTTAAATGGTCAGAGTTTATGGCATTGCTTTAACACGCAGGTAATAAAGACTTGACAGAATGAAAATGTCATCTTGTGGTGATTATCAACTCTGAAGAAACAAATAACTAGAGAGGCGGAGAAGTAGTGTCCATATCATGATCACCTTTATTTTGTAAGCAAGTTTTGTTCTTGCGTATTTTAACAAGCGTGTTTGTTTTGTCTTGCAGTTCTTTTAACGTCTGTGGCTGAAGCCAAACGCAAGCAAGGTAAAACAGGAAAAGATCAAAAAATTTGAACAAGAAAGACAGTTGGAAATTAATATTAGGGGTAAAACCTGTAACTAAGCAAAGTCAACTTCGTTTCGGGAGTAACTAAAGGATTGTTGTGAAACAAATTCAAAATGCTGTAGCCGAACCAAAACACCGCTATACAAACTTTTAGCCCGTTAGGAATTAATCATTTGCTGTCGAGGAAAATTTACAATTTTATTCCTTTTTTTTTCGAAAACTGATTTCGTCGGTAGGTTAAAAAATAATTTGGCAGGAACAAAACATTCGAATGCAACAGGTTAGGTTGAGTTTACTAGAGGTAATAAAAGCGAGAGATTTTTTTGTGCAACTTGCAGTTACACTGCGTCCCAAGATTTTTACTTTTCTGTTTGCCATTTTTTCTTCAACTTTCTCATTACAAAATTTTAGCATTTCTAATGCATCGATAGATATCAGACATGTTATATTGTTGCTCAGTTCAGTTCAACAATTGTCTTTGGAAATTTGAAAATGACCTAACGACATCAGTTATTCCTAGTGCTTGTCAGACTTATTCTAGTCTTTTTGTTAAAATGTTTTTCGAGATCTTAAATTAATCTTGGCGCTTTTCAGACTTTATTATTGTACCTTAGTTCTCGGTTGAAATTTATTTAGTTATAATGCATTTATATTTATCAATAAAGAGTTGTAAATATGGAAATAAATAAAACTAACAAGCAAATAAGATTTGTGTTTTCACTTTATTATCTTCCATTGACTTACAAATAATAAAAAATAATTTCGCTTTTAAAGGGGCCTGGTAACAAGTCAAAATATAGGCTCTCTTTTAAAAAATTTTGCGTGTGGAGGGTTGCTGAGAGGAAAAAAAATTCTGCGGATTTGAAGAGCGTCTGGTGCAAAACAAAAAATATACAGAACTTTTAATGGGAGAAAATCAATCGCTTCAAGGGAGATTTTTCCCCGCCAAAAGACTTGGTTATTTTTTGGTCAACATCAGACACCATTCCAAAGCGCAGACTTTTTTTTTCCATGGACAGATTTCCCACCTAAAGATTTAAGAGTTTTTTGACAAAAGTTCTTCCCGCAAAGAGACCTACTTTTTTTTTTTCAAATTGTACCTAGGCCTTTCAAAAGCGCAAATTATGCAATCGATGGTTTTTGACGCAATCATGGCTCTCCAGCACGCTATTCTTCTCTAACTCGTGAATCCAAAGAGAAGGTCTGAGAAACTTTATTTAATTCAATACATGTCTCGAATCTTCTTGCATCACCTTAAGTTCAAATCTGAAAGAAAAAGAAGAAGAAATAATTTAATGACATGTTTCTGCGTATTCTCTTCCGCGAAGTGATCGCAAAGCGCTCTTTCTGGAAAATTCAGTTTCTACTTGCACTCTGCATCCATCTGTATCATTTATAAACTTCTTGATAGGATTTTTACGGCTCTTGTTACGATAAATTAAATCTTAACAAACTAAGGAATATTAAACATTGTGTTTAAATCAAGAGAAAATAAAATCCCATTATTGTTTCTTGGTTTAAATTTATGTCGAAGTAAGTAAGCAGTTTTGAAGCTAGTTGCATTGAACTACAAAATGATCCTGTAAATGGTCAGATTTTGTTGAATTTCAAAAATGCACAAAGTTTGTAGTTAACGTGAAAATATTCATCAATGACAAACAAATTAAGTGCTGGAATATTTCTGTTGCTTCTTTTTTAATATTCGTTCTCCACTGCAGTGCAACTAAGTGATAAAACATTCATCAAATTAGAAGATATGGCAGTAAAATTAATGCAACAATATTTAAGCTCAGTTACTTTGACAAGTTTCGATAAGTTACATCTATAATTTCCTCAGAACAGTTACCTCTTATTCTTGCAATAACTAACATCTACTCTTCTTAATCCAGGGTTTTACTAAGTGGCTGCTGAATGCACTGATAAATTATTTTCAATTTGTTGACTGATACATTAGGACAGAATGGGTTTTAAAATTTGAATTTTCTCTCTCAGTTCAGCATCTGGCTTAACCAGTTCGTGACAATCATCACCTTGGGCAGAAATAATTTAAATTACACCAAAATTTGTTTATTTCTCTCAACCTTTAAATGATACATTTTCCTTCGTTTGCCAAAGTAAATTTTAAATACGTGACCTTCTCAATACGTTGACAGAACCGACATTGTTACTTCTAGGCGACTCGAAACGCTTTTCGATTGAGTGCCATAAAACCACAACCATAGTTATCACTACGCCCATCAGAGCGAAGGAAAATATTACGAGGGGCCAATGAGAACTCAAAGTGAAAACAAGCAAACTGCCCAAAGGGTGGGAAAACTTGTGTTACCGAGACGCAGTTGGTTTCAATTCTGCGTCTGATTGATTGAGCGGGTTATGATAGTTTTCCTGACCATTCACAGATCGTAGTGTAGTAAAAACATTGCAGTCCTAGATTACTTTTGAAGCTTTTTACAAAATTAATAAATCGCAAAATACTAAGGTGGCTCGTCAAATTCTAAACTTTTCCGTGTCTTTCTTCCTCAACAACTGTAACCATCATTTTATTTAGCTTTCGATTCTTCGAGATACACACGAGGTCAAATATCATTGCCAACGTGACGTTTAGAGAATTCAAACATTTTATCCCTAACCTGCTCACAATACTCGTTTAACAAGACCTTGGGAAAATCATAAAGATAAACGTGTGAACGAGATGCATTAACACAGCAGATGCCTTAGAACTTTTGTTGGATTTTTTTCCTTGTCGAGTGACTATGAATGTGAATTATCAAAAGGAAATGGTCAAGTTACGAAGCTAAACAAGTCAAGAATAAAACCAACCACTTTAACTTTTCACGGAGACACATTTGGTATCATTCTGTTCATTGATGAATGCATTTCAGGTTTGCACTGAAGTTTCGTGAACTGCGGATTTATGCCATAAAATGTTAAGAGTGAAAAGGTATAATCTAAAACTAACCACCCATCAAATTGAACTAAGTTTCCAAAGTACGATCGAGTTAATCCAAAAAGAGTTTCTTTCTTTAGACTGAAATGTTTAAATGAATCACCTTTTTTTACTTAATTTTTAACTTACTAAGTATGCTGATCAATTCAAAGCTTCAACATCTTCCCCAGGCAACCCACAGGCATTTAACCGTCGTCCGTGCCCGGGGTGGGGAATTTAAACATTGCCTAGGTGGGGTGGGGGTTTGAACTATCAAGAATATGCATGTTTTCAATTATAAATATGGAGGAGTTTTAAAGTAAAGAGTCCGCTTTTAAGAGCAAATGGATCAGAGGAAAATGATTACATCGTAGAATGATGCTTGAGGTAATATCAAAAGGCGGCACCGAAAGCTAATACGCGCCTTTGCTAATTTAATTCTGTTACATTCGTTGATCAATTGCAAACAAAGAACTGTTCAAAAAAATTCTTGTTCGAGTAGAGCATTTGAACGCAATTTAGGCTTCTATGACGAGAGTTGGAACGAATTAATCTTCTTAAGTTCAAATGCTAAGGGCTCGCCGGGGGGAGGGGAGGGGGGTGAAGTTGAAGCTACGAATTGATTGACACATTACGTATTGCCTTGTAACAAGTATCTTAATAAGAGATCAGTTTTATAACTCGAGTGTAAGGTAATTTTGTCTAAGATTGTAAACAGTCCTGTCAATGATTTAGACTGTGGAAGAAACAGTATTGTTACTCTACACATAAATAGAACTATTCACACATGTCTCGACTAATTCTGACGTTGATTGCAGGTAATTATAACCAGTAAGCTACAAAATTTATTCAGAAACGCGATGAATATTTCACAGGTTGAACTGAAGTTTGACAGCGGTTTTCTTTGAACTAAATTACAGCGGTTGCTATCGCGTTGTTTTTTGGTTTTCTTCTAAGCGGATGAAAAAAACATGAGCCGAACTCACAAAATTGCTTAAAACTATTTAAAAGTCAAAATAATGAAATTATATAACTTACTTGGGTTCAGAGAAGACCATGCTTCGGTCACTTTACAGCTTGACTCAGTTTGCTTGCCGTTGCCGGTTGTAACCTCTTTCGAGAATCGTTTCATACCGAATATTGAATTTTCAGGACCTAGCAGCATTGCAACTTAATCAGTCCAACGTTATGAACATTTGGGACTTGTAAGACGACGATTTTTCTGACCAAAAACTGTTATTTAGGGCGAGTAACTTTAAACCAAGCAGGCTAGCAAAATTGTGAGCACCACGTGTGAAGATACTGATTCAACTGAAATGAATAATCATTGAGTAGAAAGATATTTGCAATTCAAATCCAACATTCCATGAGCCTCGCTATCAGTATACAAAATGATTATGTAAGGATGTGATTTCAACTGATGAAAGGTTTTCTTCCTGAATAAACCTGTTAGGCAAATAATTCGCTTTTCGCATCTTTACTTAAAATTTCCACGGACTTGTTTCGAGGTTGATCGAGGTTTAAATCTCGAAAAGTTTGCTTTTCTGAAAGATTCCGCAATACAAATAATGGTGCAGACGCAATACTAAGGGCACTTGGTAAATAACCACGCAAATTTTAATTGATAGGAACCCGTTATATTGACCTTTTTTGAGTTGTTTTAGTGACACTTTGCTAAAGTAAAAAGTTTTTCCGCATACAATTCAAGGCCACGCCCTTCTGAGCGTGTGAAATAGTACGCTTAAGAAAATCTAAGGTTTAAAGTGCAAAGTTTCTATCCACTTAGTTAATACATACAGTTGGCTTTTTAAGACTCCAACTCTCAATAAACCCAAGTGTTTTATTAATTTCCATTCTAGTAATTTGAGTGTCAGTTTTCACCTTGACAAATGTATCACTTTTTGATTAACCTTGAAAGTTTGAGTTAATGTGCGTCAACCCTAGTCCCCTTAGTAGACACAAAATTTTCAATAAGCTTCCACAAAATTAATCCCAACCCCTTAAACCAAAAGTATATTGACAACCTTTCTCAGTAAAAGTCAATAATACTGAAGTAAATTTTCAGCAAATCAAGTACCAGTTCAGATCGATTACTCCGACTAAAAATGTGTGCGCATTTCAGAGCGTTGTTCAATTGAATGCTTATCGCAATCTGAGATTTCTTTGGCCTTGCTTTCTTTTAATCTGTTTGTTCTGAAAAGTTCTCGCCAGTCTCTCGCTACCTTTGTCCTGACAACCTCCTGTAGTTACTTACACTTTTTTATAACCCTTGTCGAGAGGTACTCTCAAGTAAAACTCTAAAAAAAAAACTAAAAAAACCGACACGTTACTTACCTAAAAGTTTATCAGTTTTAAATCCTTAAATTTTTTAAAAAAGTGATCGGTTAAACGTATTCAATGACATCGACCTTCGTGTGTCTGTTGAAAAAAATAGTACCATCGGTCTTAAACTTCTAAAGTGATAAAAAATTTCTTTCAATTTTGAATGAGTGACTGATACATCTCGTGCCTACTTGTAGGTTGAATCTATGTTTTTTTACTTTTTGATTTCTTGATAGTTTTGGTTTTGGTTTTGGTTTTGGTTTTGATTTTGTTTGTTTGTTTGTTTTATGTTTCCTCAGTACAGAAAAGTGTTACTCTAAAGTTTCATTCCATTTTCCACCCACTTTCTGGGTCAAAAGGAACCATTTACAATCTCATGAGAAAACCTTTGTGCTAAACTGTCAATCAGAGGGATCAGCGATCTGTGTCCACTTCGTACAAGAACCCAGTACCAGGCATCAGAACCCTGTTGTACGAGGTACTCTGCACAAAAACCCGCCATTTGTCAAACGACGTGGGCTTGATTTTGCTTGCCCCTCCCGCTCCGATCATTGCGCATGCTTCAGGTCCAGTAAACATGTCCCCGGAGGCCTTGTCCACCAAAACGACTTCCTTCTTGTCCGAAATTTTTTCTGGCTTCGTGAACTCGTAAAACCCACGTCCTGTTTTGAAGGGAAGGTCGTTCTTCTCGACGAAAGAGCGAATGTCGCCGCGTTCGTCGACTTCCAGGATCTGGCGATGAAAAACGTATGAAGTGAGCTGTCTGAGCCACTTCAGCGTTACAATTGATCAGTTTAGAGGGACGTGTTACAATGTACTGTTCGCTACATTCAAAAGTTTGTTGAATTGAAATCTTCCCCCTCTTCTTGAACCAACAGACATAGTAAAATAAACTAGTTTGTGTTCACGGGCATGAAAGAGTTTTGGGACTCATTCGACCAATTAGAGAGTGCGCACTTTCTTAAATACCCTATAAATTTCTATCTAAAACACCAATCGACCAATGAGAGCGCGCGTCCTATCTTAGATATCCTGTTCTTTCATATGTAACGCACCGTGATGTCATTTACCTGAAATCGAGACGGATTGACCGGTTCCAGTCCCTCGTGATCACTTCCACCGGTGTAGGTACTGGTGCTCCTACCGGCTAGAGTGTCAAACAAGGCATGCAAGTTACGATTCAACCCAGAGCCCTTTGACCTTGACTTGACCTCTGCCTCATAAGCTTCCAGTTGCTCCACTCCCTGTTCTCGATAGCAAATGGCCGTTAGGAAATCGACGATGGAAGCGAATTGATCTAGCTTCAAGTGCCAACCACAGGTAAACTCAGCGATTTTACGATAGAAGGTGTCAGAGCCACCGTAGTTAAGACACTGGACCGAGTAAATCCGCACGCTCATCTCATTGTAGAGTTTCTTAGCTTCCTCCTTCCAGTCAATTTTCAGTGTGTTCAAGTGGTACGAAGGGGGATGGGGTGAGGCGTCGCCTATTATCACTAACGAACGTTGGGAGTCTGGTGTCCAGGACAGCTCTTCACGAACCTTAGATAAGAACAAAAACACTCCATAAGAACCACACGCAACAGTAGGAAAGGGAAAAGGAAACTTTTTTTGGCCAGAAATTTTTTTAAATACAAGAGTAAGACTGAACGCATTTGACTTAGTACATTAATTCCTTTCTGAACATTCATAACTGCATTGTTTGACAGCTTTTAATTCTATGATCTCACATTTTATACCAGATTTACATCGTATGAAGTGAGTTTGATTTTAATGGAATAAAAAAGACTGGGAAATGATACAGAGGTAACCTATGCTTTAAGCCGTCAACCACAGATTTGCATTAAAGTTCGCGAATTTTGGAAGACGTCAGCAAAAGTTATCAGGACCAAACTCCAAAGGACTAAGTCTTAACACAGAGTTCACCCTTACACTCCCAAGATCTCATCAGTAATTCTCCTTACTGTCTGCCATACAATTCGTATAATGTTAGTTTGGAGAATTTGGTGTTGCATCAACTAATAATCCCCTAATTGATATATTTCTTTGAACCCATCGCTTGTCTGCTTGATATTGTATCGGAGATATTGATATTGTAAGGAGAAATTCTGTCTTGGTCACTCATAGGAGTTAAAGAGCCGGTTATTTAAACAGAGCTTAGCCGTTGTTTAACTAAACCGCGTTCTAAGCTGCCTTCAATTTAGCCGAATCTTTCATCTGAACAGTTCTTTTCGTGAACATTGTCAATAGAGCCGAAAGCTAACTGTGGAAGGATATTTATTTAATTACATCTACCCTCTTATAGAGAAAGCCTGAGGCTCACTGCTTGCATAAACAGCGGTTTGGTTTAGGCCTCGTGTATCATGGAGCCCTAGCGAGATGCCGAGGGTTACCTGAAGTAGACTTTAAATTCATTGCAAGAGAAGTAACACTATTCCAGGACTCTTCTTGTTACAGAAAACAAGACAAGCTCCTGCAGCTAAGAAGTCCGATTTAATCTTTCTTTGCGCATCCAACGAGCCGAGGTTACAGGGCATGCTGGATTTCAATTTCTTTTTTTACTATTTGACTGTTTGTTTGTTAACTTTTTTTGGTTCAATTCGCTTGAGCTTGCGAGAGCTCCCACAAAGCAGGACCCCCACCCCTCTGCGTTCCGTTCACGCTTGTTAGTTTACTGCGCTCTGCCCGACGATTGAAGTAGATTGAAATGGATGGTCTGTGAATATGTTTCTTAAAAATTGTTTTACTGGTTAGATTAGATAGGAGGAGGTAAGCAACCTGCATGACAGGTTCTAAAAGTTGTGTGGCCACAACTTAAAAGTAAGACGCTCCTTTTATTTATCCTCATGCCACTCTTCTCCTGTGTCCACCCCCCTTAAATTCACTCATACCAGGTGCTTGAGGACGTGTCCAGATGGTAAGATAAATTCCCAATCTGAAAATCACATTTATGCTTACCACTATTTTGCAACTGCCCCACCCCCCCTTCTCCTAATCTGTCACATTCAAAACGACTGACATAGATGAAAACTGGTGAAAGGATTTGATTGGTGTAGCAAAGAAGACAATTGCCATTATTTCATTTTCCTTTAAATGTTCCAATTATATATATTTAATTGAAAAAAAAAAGTAAAAACCTGTTGACCAACTACAAAAACCATCTTTGCCAAAAAAATGTCACTCACCTGTCTAAGAACAAGTTCATAGCATTCATCTGAATCATATCCACATGTTGATGATACATTCTTGATAAAGTTACATATTTTCTTTTTGTCTGTACTGAAGTCTACCCATTTTGTATCATAAGTTGATTCTTTATCTTGATAGTCGCCATGAGCAAACACTGCGATGCGAATACCAGGAATTTCTCTGAAGAGGCGAGTGACTGTTTCTTCAACCCTCTTTCTGACCTGGAAAACCCAATAAATAAGTTTTGGAAGTTAAATTATTGGCAGAGCAAATAGGAAGTAGTATCATCTTTATTAAAAGTTTGGTAATATAAAGCTTTGTTCTGGCATGACTGTTTGAGCAATTTTCCATTCCAGCTTTAAATCATAATGTGGTCGGTATAGAGGTCTCTCTTGTGAATCAATTAGTATTGTATGTTGAGAACATTTTTATGGCTGGCTATTGCATTAAGTTTGATTCCAGGGATTCCTCTTCTTCAAGTACCCTGGAAAGCATATGAAACCTCCACCATGTAAATATCCAGAAAACAAAAATTTGACATCCAACAAATTTTTCAGCAACTTGGGAATCACTGCCTGGACTAACGTGCCTTATTTATTCAAGAACCTTTATAAAAATAAAATTGTAAACAAGGAATATAAGGTAGTGTCAAGGGTATTTTTCAGTTTCTTGGTTTTTTTGTATGACTGAAATTCTTTTCTCAATTTTTTAGCATTAGAGACTGTTAAGAATGAATTGGAGCAAAAGAATGTGTTTGCCAGTTGTACAATTTAAACCTTGAACTCCCAGAAGTGATTAACATGTAACTTCTCCCAATAGTATTCATACATTATTCTGCAAAAAGGTAGTGAGATTACTCAAACTTATCAGGTTCAAGGCATTATCTTGATTGAACACCGAATTCTCATAACCAAATTAAAAAGAAATGTGTAGCAGCTAGAGGTGAGAATTAACAATCAGATCTTAGGAGTTAAAAGGTTAAAAGTAATTCAAAAATAAAAAAAAAGGACAAAATGAAGAACAGATGATAGGGGAGTTTAGAAAGAAGTTAACTTAAGGTAATATTTAGATAAAGCTAAAATTTGGATCTCAGAAAAATTAGTTTAGGAGGGAAAGGCATCAAAAACAAGTAAAAACTGTACATTGCAAACCATTGACTGGCTTAGCTTAGCCAATGAGATTCCAGAATTTGGTACCTTGTACAAAGTTTGAATATTTAGGACTTAACCACAATTTTACATGACACAGCTCTCTAGACAAGTAGTTCTTTGTCACCTGAGTGAGGCAGGGGTACATTGATCCTGTGGTATCAAATGAGAATACTATTTCTTTGACGTCAGCTCCTCCTGATGCTGTACTTGCTGCTGCTGGTTTTGCTTTCTTAGCTGGTGATGATGCTTTATCTTCCTTCTTTACCTCAACTGTTGGCTTCTAAAAATGCAAAATAACTCAAGGTTCATGGCTGAAAAATCTTTGAAGATCTTTTTACACTTTATTAAGTCATATACAAGCACTAGGGAAGCAGGGATTGGGTTGACTGCTGAGAGCAATTGCTTCCCACTGCCACCAAATTCCTAAGCTTAGTTTTATGGATAAAGCCTAAATAAGAAAGGCAATCCCACATGAGACTTCACACTGACAACATCCACAAGGACAGTGGAATAGCAATCTTAGAAGCATGAGGGCTGCTGATATGGAAAAAAAAACCACAACTGACTGGAAGAGCTGTGCAACTATGGACCACAGAGGGAGCACTTAATGAAAATGGGCTAATAACAGCTGTGAAATAAAAGCCAATCAGAGCTGTACATGATTGTTCATGAGAATACACAATTATATTCAGTTAACCTCATCACCTGAGGAAGACTCCCAGTGTGCACGCCAGTTAAAATATCACAATTGGCATGGGAAGTGATAACATGAAACAATCATTAGAAATGCATTTACCACAATGACTAACTGCAACCTGTTTTTATGCTATTACAGCCATACTTTACCCTTCACACCCTAATATCAGTATACACGTTCTCCATACTGTTTTCTATACATTTCTTCAGGTGTAATTGAGGAGAATTTGTTTAACAATCAAGAGCTTTGTTGGTGATCATTTCCATTATTCTCAAGACCTTACAGAGTGATTCAAGGGTGAAATTTTAAGGGGAAATTAGATGCTAGTTATTCAGGGTTCAAAGGGTTAATAACTTAATGAAAATTTCAATAGTTTTATATTTAATCAAAATGCAGTGATGAAAATTGACACCTCTTCTGCTTTTTTGCGCTTTCCTCTGCCCACTCCTCGGCTTGTGCTGGGTTTCTCCTTGGCATCATCTGCAGAAATTGCTGCTGCTGGTTTTGCTGCCTCCACTTCTGACGAGACAACTCCACCTTCTCCTGTGTCATATAAGAACTCTGTATCTGGCATCAAGACACGGTTGTATGAGGTTGACTGCACAAACACATCAAAATCCTCCAATTTATCCTTGTCTAATTTAAATTTTGCTGTTTCATTTCCAATCCCAAGTAATTCACGAACCTAAAAATATGAATGAAAAACTTCAATAGTTTAATACCTTTATCAAAGCATATATTTAATTTGATGATCATTTCCAATTTGGCAATAAATAGGCACTCATAAATTTTTCAAAGGTTTCTAATTCCATTTGAGCCTTTGAAAATGTTCTCTTACATACCTTATCTAACTTGTACTCGGAGCATAGATTCAACTTAATCTAAGTTGATCATACCTATCAAAGTTTTGTCAGCATTAAAAGTTGAAAGTTTCAGAGTACGTTTGTCCTGAAACTGGTTCAAAACTCAAGCTGGTAATCAATTCCCAAGCACTGCTAACATAAATTTAAAATCGAAGGCTCGTTTAAGAATTAAACAGTTGTTTATGGAAATTTTAACAGCTGTGCACTATAACTTTGTTTCCATTTTCAGAAATTAACTTCCAGCAGAAAACAAAACTGATTTTGGTAGCGGGTCTAATTTGTTTTGCTGCAATATGTAACTGATAATACAAAAAGAACGGCGATCAAATCCTATTTATAGGTGCAAAAGGAAGATAAACGTTGGCTCAATCGATTCATCTGCTTCGTTAATGGATAAAAATAACGCCGCAATAACGTTACCAAGATGCAACTCATATCAGTACCTGAAGTTATTTCAAAGCAATGAATTAATTTTACCTCGTCTCCAGAAGCCATAGTGTCGTCCGATTTTCGTCTCACGACAATCTCTTTGTGGAACTGAATCGTCTCCGGCTTTGTCAGTTGATAGAATCCTCGTCCAGTTGCAAATTTCAGCTTGTGTTTTTCCACGAAGTTTTTGATCGAGATCCGCTCATTCACCTTCAATGTTTTGAAGCGTGAGGTGCTTATGACTTCGGTAGTAGCGGCCGCTTTGGGCTTTCCTCTTTTAGGAGGCATTTTTTTTGTTTAAAAATGAAAGGGAAATAAGATTTTCTTTGATGGAGTTTCGTGCAAATTAGCTGAGTTGAAGACAAACAGATGCTATCATTTCGAACGAGGAACTTTCAAATTTAACTAGGGAGGGGTGCAATGTAGGTTTGTTATCCCCATGATGAAAGATTTTAAAGCGAAGGTTTTCTCAAGGTACCGTTATTATTAGAAATAAATTTCTTAAGCCTTAGAGGAAAGTAAAGTATACGGGAATCTTCCAAACTTAAAGAAAATTTTTCAAAAGTATAAATGTTTCCCACCCTCTCCACCCTAATCAAATTAATCTTTTGCGTAAATGAGGTGTGTTCGATGGATCAGCCAATCCGCATCGTCTTATATTTAACATCTTAGGTACCATTCCCCCGGGCAATTGGCAAGACTGAAAAGAATGAAACAAGACGTTTTCTTTCTTAATTTTATTTTGACGAAGAAGTGATTAACTGTTTATGATACTCAGTTCAAATTAGCAACACTGACGAAAAAAGAAAAGTTTTGGTTTTTTTTTTCCGTGGCACCGGCCCCTGATCAATTGTCTTCGGGTTTCATCCTATCTATTTAAAGATACTTCTTCGTAAGACTTCGAAAAAAAACATCAAAACAAAACAAAAACCTTGAAATACCATAAGGTACCTCCTTTACACGTAACTCCTTGCACTTATTAATGGTTGAATTTCCGCTTAGTTTCTACTTCAAAGTTGAATCGTCACAGTCATGAAATATTTCGGGCCGATCGAATACATTTCTTTGGTGATCGGGACGATCACGATCGTTCAGATGTTTCCGAGTCCTGTCCAATCGTTGCGTTCATTTGGCGCTATTTGGGGAAGTGTTTTGATCTAATCGCCCCTACAACCTAAAATTTAATTTCCTCTATTTGTTTTTATTTTTATTTTTATTTATTTATTTTTTTTGTGCCACAAAACGGAAACACATCCAACACTTGCCTCGTAGATCTCCGCCAGGGTTCCAGAACAAGTTTCTAGCATCATGAGATGGACCTAGTTAACGACCAGGCGAGCCACAAGTCTCCTATAGCTCGATAGTAGAGTGTCTGAAATACTGATCGGAAGGTCGTAGGTCCGACTCCTATTGAGAGCACTCGGAGTTCGTTTTTTTTTTTTCGAGTATGCCACTGCTATTCGTTGAATAACATATACGTGTAGTGAATGACATTAAACGCTGTCATCACATCTCCACCGAAACTCGTTCTACAATTAAGACTACAAACCTTCAGTGAATCTGGCAGATCTTCCACTAAAAAGAGTGCTCCTAGCTTTGCCGTTATGGCGATAGCAAACCCAGAGACTTTCTTACCGACAAGATCCACCTTTAGAGGGAAAATTTGGAAAAAGTTAGTTAACTTCATGATACTGAAATTTAGTAACTTTGCAATCTCCACCCTCTCCAAGCAACTACATTTATTGTAATAACCAACACATTTCTACCCTCTTATTGGTATTCATCTTCTCCTCACTGATCTCCTTACATTTCCTTTGCTACAGACAAGGAGAATTTGCTTGACAATCAGGACTTCCTAAGCTGGTGATCATTTCCTTTATTCTCACTACCTTTACATTCGATTCAAGGGTGATACTGTGAGGAGAATTTAGAAACCAATCAATCTTGTCGTTAGTTTGATTTCTTAAGATGCAATACTTTATCCTGCACATTATGCCAGGTATACTTGCCTTATCTTTGAAAACATTGATGTCCTTGTTTAAATACACCCTAAGATAGAAAATCGGGGGAGAAACTTAGGATTTAAAGTATTGTCTTACTAATGCTTTAATGATAACTATGATAATATTTTATGAGGGAACCCAACTCGCCAATATAGCTTTTAGTGATGCCCCGAGTACTTTATCTCTGAAAATGGTATGTACACTGTTTGCACACACTTTGGAGCTAAGGGTAGGAATCGAGAAGCGTTTTCAATCAGACGCGATTTTTAGGAAATAATATAACGATGCTCAAGCATGCCCATGTCGGAAAGATTCCTGTTTTGCTCTTCCTATGCAGTTTCCTCGATTTGGTTGGCTTTGAAAACCTTGTGCTCGCTTCTTAACCAATCAGATAAAAAAAACTAAGAGCAGGAGTGCGCACCTTGGTTTTTCACGCTATTCCCATCACGTGTCTTTACTCAAAGCGCTCTTTAACTCCTGATGATTCACCTTTGTTCTGATTGGTCGTCTTTTCTCAACTCGTTTTGGTACCAGGTGCAGGCACGTGTGCGAATGTTGTACACACTAAGTGACGTGCTTTCAGGCTTTTAGAGCCAAGTTGTCTTACAAGAGTAAAAATTGCTCAAAAGCGAATGGTAAATTAGCAGGAAACCCGTAATTAGATAAACTTTGTCTGCGAAAATTCTCGTGTTTTTCTCTTCCCTGTTTTTGTTTCCTTTCACAGATTTCTATGACCGTTTCAAGTTTTTCTTCCACATAGCTTGCTTGACAGCAGTTGACTCTTATGTTTTTCTTATGTAGGATATTAAATATGACTCGACCTTCAGCGAGACAACAGGAAATGCTTTGTGTCTCAAATTGAAGAATGTCCATGAAAATGAACGCTTTGACAGTCCCATTTAAATGCGGTGGTTACAATTTTAAACAAAATATAAGCAAGCAACTGGTATTGACAACCGTGTCATACGAAAAGATGTACATTAAAAAAAAAGTAGTCCCCCAGTGAATCATACAGTGTATCATGTTAAGATGTTAACGTCGAGTCCATTACAACCACTCTGGAGGCTTTCGTGACACCTGAGCACACCAGAAAAACATATGTGGGTGTTGTTGAATATATTCAAATTAGTTTATGTATAGGTTAGATCATTTTCAAGGCGGTCAAAGCATACCATTTCATTTTCGCTCAGACTAACTCACTTGCGACAAATTTAGCCATTGTCTAAGAAAAACGTAGTGGCTACCCTTAAACACGGATAAAAAATTGAAAGTTTCTCAATTTGAAAACAATCGTTGCTCTTAATTTTACAATTTTTCCATCTTTTGAAGAGTCTACCACTAACAGAATTAGAATTTTAATTCAAGGAAAAAAAGAGCAAATATCTACTCTGATTTAGTGATTTCATGCCGCCATAACTTATTTTAATCACAGCAACGACAGACTGATTCCGTGTGCAAAATTCGTTTCCTCCAGGATAAACCAAACCAAGATATTTCCATTCAATACTTAATTAAATAAACAAATGTTTGCATGTTTTAGTATGCATGCGAGACAACACTGTCAGCGTAGGTACTTAATTAATAGAAAGACACAAAGAAAAAACTCTGGACGTCAACTAGCCTGTATGTTTTTAAATCTGCTTGTTCCCCTTTCAAATTTCCAAGCATTTCGATGTACTAGAATTGTCGGATCCAACACCTCATGAACCCCATAAAAAAATTAATAAAATTTATGTCGAATACCCATCTAGATGGAAATATCAGACTTCTTATTATGCAAAAATTTTCTCCAGACGATAAACTACGTTAAAACCGAAATTTAGCGGTGCAAATCATTTGTTGAGTACTTGAAGTTATGTCCGGAATCAGTTGAAAATTTCGTTGATGGTCAAAATTAGAAAAACTTGACGATCATTCCAAATAAAATTCATAGTAAGTCAACCTTCGTTTTCATCACTAATCATACTCTAGTACATGTAAAACTTAATATGACGCTACCATGATAAAACTCGATTTCGAAGAGTACACTGTGAACTTCTGAAGGCAACAAGTGTTTTATTTTGAGATGTTCCTCCGAGAAACTGCGCGGTCTTGAGTCAATGATGACGCCAAGTATTCTCGTGGAAGAAATTATTACTGAGATTCTATCGAGCTTCCATAGAAAAACAATGTAAATTATCCACAGCTTTGGTCAAAACCAACCGAAATTAATCGCAGAAAAAAAAAGTTTCTCAAGATTACGATAGCGTGATCTGTAATATTCCTCGCATCAGAAGTGTTTTCCTGTAAAATTTTTAACACACAGAAACTAAAACTTACAGATCCTTACCTCAAATCCTGTCGGTACTATCTCGAATTATCCTCGGCTGTTGGGATCGCGTTTGTATTTTCGCTACAATATGGAAAAACAACCTCTGCAGCTGTCACCTGGATCATTGCCGGAAGGCCGAGTCCAGGTTTCGGTTCATATCTATCCTTCTATCGACGACGTCGAAAGTGTGTATGCCTGCGTTGCTTGACGGTCTGCGGTATTCCTCTACAGGCATGAAAGCGAGGCAAACGTGAAAACGAGGCCGCTGACGAGAAAACATGCGATTTGGTTTGCTCTTGGTAGGTCTCTTTGCCCTCTGCTTCTCGTGGTGCGGAGCTTGATAGAAAATCATGAAGAATTGCTTTACTTCGAGAGCGCCTCTAAGTACTTATAAATCATCATACCTTTACATTTCCTTCAAGATTTTAAGGTCCGTTAACGCTCGTGTTGCTACGATAAGAGCAATTAATGATTGAACGTGCCATGAACATGTTATTCGAAATTTTTACAGACAAAAATAATCCTGCACAAATGTGATAAGCCCATACCATCAAGCAGTTAAGCTCAGTTAAGGTTGATGCTGTTATATGTTTAATTACCGATTGGATCAACACGTTAATTGAAATTTGTATAGATAAAAAAAAAAACCGTGCACAACTTTCAGTAAACTATACCATCAAGCATTTGAGCTCGTGATGTTTATACTGTAATGATAGGTACAGTTAATGACTGAACTCGTTATTAACGTCTTAGTTGAAATTGAAACTGATTCGTCTCTTATTTCAATAAAACAGGGAGAAAAGGCTCGTATGTATTAGCTGTTTTTATGATCATATCGTTAAAGCCTTTTCGGCACCTGGTTTATCTGTAGTTTTCATTCAACAGTCGCTCAATAGGTGGAAAGTTTATCTTGTTCATAATGTATTGTTCTCTAAGTATTTACAAAACTCTTGGTACAGTCAGATAAGAGCCTGTTCCAGGCGTTCAGTTGATATCGCGCCATTCACTAGATATCGCGCTCCCTTTTACTGACTGAATGCCCGGAACAGGCTATTAGAAATCAAATGATTCAGCACTTCACTTTCAACGACAATTTTATTTTGATTCAAAAATTTCATTGGATTCAAATTTGATACTTAAAGCAATATTTCATTGCAAGTCCTGAGGCAAATTATTCATTTCCTTTCTCACTTCTTCAGTGTGTTCATTATTTTAGTTTTATAATTTTTTGTCACCACATAGTACCATGCTAACGCTAGTGATTACACCTCTTTAGAAATCATTTTTCGCAAGCTTAGTTTTTGGTTAATTCAACCTATCGATTTCTTGAAATAAGTTCACAACGCTTTGAATTAAAGCTACAAATACATCAGAAATCATACATAATTTGCCTGGGCATAAAAAGCATTGAACAATGTCTTTTCCAAACCCTGCTGACAACGAGAAACAGAGCTGCCCCGGGAATGAAACTGAGTCAACGAATAGTTTGTTAACTTTTAAATAGTCCAACAATGGAAACAAATAAAATATCCCGATATCTATATAAATGATAAATAAACGACTAGATAAATACAAAGAAGGAATAAATTAGATGGAAAACGTCCGAGAGGAAGAAGTAATACAGGAAAATGAAACCAGAAATGTAAAAAACAATTCCTAATATTTAAAACATTATCCTACAAATTTCAAAAGTGTTAAGTGAATTATTTCACTCATGACGCTTTCTTGTCGTTGTCTTCTTGAGTTTCCTTGCTGGCAGGATTCGTCGCTCCTTTCGGCATTTTAGAAGCAATTCTAAATAAAAGAAAAAAATGAAGTTCTTAGGCATCGCGCGCGCTTCACCAGCCCTGAGTCAATTGTCATTTCCAGTCTCTGTCGATCGAATGCACTTGAGCGCTTCTCGGCTGTGTCACAAAAACCAATAGGAAGAAAGTAAAATATCTTTAAGAGCCAATAAGAACTCGAAGTAAAGCGCGGGAAAACGAGGAGGACCAAGTCTTGATTGATTCTAGTTTTGGAACTGATCGGTTGAAAAAGTGGCGCAATTTTCCTGGACCAATTAAAGAGCGAAGTAAAGCAACCCCGGACTAAAATGAATTTCAAATTTCTCTAGCGTAAAAAAGTTTTCTTTTATTTACGAGCTTGAAAAACAGAAATACAATAAGTTAGAACAGTTTCAAAACTTGGAAAACTTGTTCATCGACACTTTTAGTAAGGAACTGTTTATGTGGCGGTACTCACTGACTATTCAATAAAATAAAAAATGAGCACGCTATCAATGAAGGGACAAACTATTTCTCGTTGACTCTGTTGCTCGAGTTTCGGGCAGAGCTTAGAATAATCACCCTTTTTCAATTTGCCTTAATTTTACTTACTTTCCAGTTGCGTCTTCTACAGCACTTTTGATTTTACCCAAGCACGAATTGATCTCCGTCTAAAAAAATGGAATGAAATTGATAGAAGACACTTAAAAATCTAATCCATACTTTTCTCTCAGGACTGAAAAGATTCTTCATACCGCTAAAAAATTCCTTAATTTGGCAAGCGCCTAAATATAACTTAAGGTTAAAACAAAGTCAAACTAGTTTTTTTTAATATATTTGACTCATATCGGAATTTGAATTCAAATATTGTGTTTCTTTACGCCTGATATTGCAATTATGTACAGAAACGAAATAAAGATTTCATCAATATTAAGTGATAATAATCTCTTGTCATAATATAGAAGCTGAATCATGAGTATTCCCTCCTTTTTGGCGAAGTCTGTCGCGCAAGTAAAAATATAACTGCAAAAAAAATTATTCTCGCGTTCCGCGCGGCACTCTGAGAATGACGCGCACGTAAACGAATTTTGTTTTTTTTTGCAGCTTTTGTTTTTAATATATATTTAACTCGCGCGACGGACTTTGCCGGAAAGGAGGGATTGCTCTCATTATAAACTGAAGTATGTATTTGGTACTTACTTCGTACATGTCGTAAATCTTTGGAATTGTAAAGGCTCCAATAAATGCTACAAAACAAAACGATGTAAGTTACAGAAATTTTATTCGAGTTTTGGAGAGGTATGTGGGATCTTACTGATTCTGTTTTACTTCGTATTGTGATTGGTCTGATGAGCAGCTATGCACGTTTACCCAGAGTTTTTCTTTTTCACCTTATGCTCTGATTGGCCATTGGTATTCCTCTTGCTCTGGTTTCATGATACTTTATCAAAATACGCTCCGCAACATGAAAGTCCCTCGGGAATGAAAATGTTGGCCCTTGTCTAGCTTGCAAGCAGGCATCTGTTATTAGCACTTCGGTAAAACCCTTTGTTTTGGCCCTCGGGAAAATATGAGTGCAAGAGGTCTGCAAGTGGTCTAGCGCTAATCAGTAATGCACGACTCCCCGAAAACCTCTCCTGACTCATCTCAAGTCTTCCGCGAGAGGAGAAACGCGCGTCCTGCAGCGCTAATAATAAGGGCCTGGTAGAGAGCTAATTCTTGTCAAGCTTTCATTTTCAAACCTTCGTAGTTGGCAATCTAACAATAAGTGATTCGTATACTGTCTTCATATTTTTCCTAGGAAGGATTTCAGTGAACCCAACTGGGAGAAATTAAGTCTTTGAACTTACCCATGAATGTCAGAGTAATTCCACTGAACCACTGAGCCACGTAAGAGAGAACATACAAGGCTACTAGCAGCTGAGAAATTGAAAGAAAAAAATGTCATTTTATATTCAGCTTATTCCAAGGGAGTCATACGTCAAGTACCAACAGGGAACTTTGAACTGAACTCCATATAAGCTGCCCTGAATGATCAACCTCAAGCAATTCTTAAGTCGAGTGAAATACAAATTTCCACTGTGATCGCATCTGTGTGAAAGAGTACACGCACATGCGTGTAGAGGACGACAAAAGATGAATTGAAATACACGCATTTGCGTATAAACCATTGCAGACGTGTAATTTTTCTACTGCACACGCGTAACTAAATGCACCGGAAGCGCGTGTAATCCCTTCGAATTACACGCGCTTGACGCTCTTGTATGTACTGCAGTACACGTAAGCGGTACTTTCCGTATGAGCTAAATACCAAAAAAAATCTAGAAAATATTTAACAAAGCCTCTACTTGTGCACTATAGAGCAATTTTTAACTAATCGAGTATCGACAGTAGTCTGCAAAATTCTCAAACAATCAAATGCAAAGCCAAATCCAACCGCGTTCTCGTCACTCGACTCCGCGCTCGAAGCAGTTTCCTAAACTGCTCGCAGGCCCTCTTATAAGCGCTGCAGAACGCGCGCGTTTCTCTACCCGCTAACAATGCTAGTACCAGACTCCTTGTAGACCACTTGCCGCCTTTCTCGCAGGCTAAGAAATGCTCGTGTAAATGCTCTGGCAGTTTGCCCGTTTTCCTTTCTAATAAGCCCCCCGTAATATCATATTTTCACATACCCTAAGCATACTTTATATTGTCTTGCATGACACTGAACAGATTGATGTACTATCAGAACAAGAGTTTATGTTCGGAATTGCTATCATCACTCCACCTATTTTTTTGTCTCAAGACTCTCAACCGAAACTCGTTCTACAAATGTGAATACAAACCTTCAGTGAAGCTGGCAGATCATCCACTAAAAAGAGTGCTCTTAGCTTTGTTGTCATGGCTGCAGCAAACCCAGAAACTTTCTCACCGACGAGATCCGCCTTTTAAGGAGAAATTTTGAAAAAGTTAATCAACTTTATGATTCTGAAATCTAGTAACTTTGCAATCTTCACCCTCTCCAAGCAACTGCGTTTCTTCTTACTAACACTTTCTACCCTAATATTGGAATTCATCTTCTCCTCACTGTTCTCCTTACATTTCCTTTGCTACTGACAAGGAGAATTTGCTTGACAATCAGGGGCTTCTTAAGTTGGCTATCATTTCCTTTATTCTCATGACCTTAATATGTAATTCACAGGTGATATTGTAAGGAGAAATTCGAAGCAAATCAATCCTAATGGGTCAGCCTTCAGACGTAACATTAGTTTGAGTCTTAAGATGCAATACTTTATTCAGCATATTGTGCCAGGTGTACTTGCCTTATCTTTGGAAACTTCTATGTCCCTAGATAAATACGCCCTAAGATGGAAAATTGGCGTAGAAGCTTAGGATTAAAATTTTTGTCTTGCTAATGCTTTCATGATAATTATACTTATATTTAATGAAGGAACCCAACTCGCCAATGTGGTTTTCAGTGAAGCATTGAGTACTTTATCTCGGAAAATGGTATGTTCACTGTTTGCACACACTTTGAAGCTAAGGGTAGGAATTGGGAAGCGTTTTAATCAGACGCGACTTCTCTCGTGCCTAAATATATAATTTGCAGTCATGACAGGCTGAAAAGGTACAAGCGCACGTGCGAACGTTGTATAGGCAAAGAGTTATAAAAAACTATATAAGCAAGCAAGTCGCAATGTTTGAAATACGTATAACTTTTTTTGATAAACCTCAAAACGTTATGGTAAATTAGTTGGAAGTCCGTAATTAGATAAGATTTGTCTGCGAAAATTCTCGCGTTTTCCTTCTCCTTACTTTTCTTTGCTTTTACAGATTTCTATGAACGTTTCAAGTTTTTCTTTTCGCATAGCTTTCAAGACAGCGGAAATGTTCTTCTGTTAAATTTCGCACGGGAAATTAACACGTGGTCGCCCAAAATTTATCTCCTTGCGCATGCAATCACGTGTTCCCAGCTCTTATTCTCTACCAGCTATAGCATTACAGACTAAACACAATTGCTTACTTGAGTGGATGCTCAAATTCACTTCTGAGAAATGCAGATCTTGCAGTCATCAGCAGTCGCAAGGCGAGCATGGGAGCGAGGCAAACCAGTGCTATGTTGGTAAGAACGCTGACCACACTGAACTGTGTCATGCAGATCAGGAGGACAAACCCGCTGACAAATACAATTGCAGTCACTTTGACATCTCGCCATAATAAAATGTCCTTTACATCCATAGCCGGCTCGGGGGAACTAAAATGAACATCATAAAAAGGTTAGCGTTTTTAGTGCTAAAATTACCGATTCAAAGTATAGCAACCAAACTCCTTTGACATAGGGAAATCACAAAAGATATTTGATAACAGTATGTGAATACAAACTCCAAATGATTATGTTGTATAAGGAACTAGCCATTATTTAACGACGGGAAGGGGAGGGGGGAGTGGGTCAAAGGATTTTGGTTGTGTCATGTAAAATTTACCTGATCCCTCCATGAGGCTCTGTAATATTCTCAAGATCACCCCCGACTGTCAGGGACACGAAAGGAAATGCTTTGTGTTCCAAATTGGAAAATGTTCATTAAAATGAACGCTTCGTCCCATTTCAATGCAGTGGTTGCAATTTTAAACAAAATTTAAACAGCAACTAGTGTTGACAACCGTGTCATGCGAAGGTATGCATCAAAAAGGGTAGTGCCCCAGTGAATCATACTATGAATCATAGAGCGCATCATATCAACGTCGTGTTCATTACAACCGCTCTGTCGGCGTAACTCTTTGAGCCCTGAGAGTGACAAGCTTTTAATTTAAATTTCTCCTAACAATCTCACCGCTGAACCAAACGCAAAAGTCATGAGAATTAAAGTGGTGATCATCATCTTAAGAAGCTCTTGATTGTTAAACAAATTCTCCTCTTCAGCACCATAGGAAATGCATAAAGAACAGTATGGAGAATAAGGCATACTGATGTTAAGGTGTGAAGCGCTAAGACACTCTAACATGTTAACGTCCACTCCATTATAACCACTCTAAAGGCTTTCATAACACTTGAGCACACCAGACAAACATATGCGGGTGTTACTCAATATATTCAAATTAGTCTATGTGTAAGTTAGATCATTTTCAAGGCGGAGCCGGCCAAATTGTTTCATTTTGCTGAGTCGAACTCATTATCGACAAATTTTGCCATTGTCTAAGAAAAAATACAGTGCCTATCCCTCCTTAATGACAGATAATAAACTGAAAGTTTCGCAATTTGAAAGCATCTGTTGCTCTCAATTTAGTAATTTTTCCCTCTTTTGAAGGGTCTATCACTGACAGAATTTGCATTTTAATTCAAAGAAAAAAAGAGCAAATATCTACACCAATTCAGTGTTTCATACCTTCATAACTTATTTTGACTACACAACTACAGACTGATTCCGCGTGAAAAATTTGTTTCTTCCACAAAAAAGCAAAGATATTTCCATTCAAAACTTAATTAAGTAACCAAATGTTTTCATGTTTCAGCTGCGGGCGAGACAACACACTCAGCCTAAGTACTTGATAGAAATACACAACGCAAAAAATCTGGGCGTCAACTGGCCTGGATGTTCTTTAATATGCTTGTTCCGTTTTCAAATTTTTCCATGCATTTCGATGTAATGAAATATATTCATGTTACTTCGTGAACCCCATAAAATATTAAAAAAAAATTTATATCGAATACTCATCGAGATGGTAATATCAGACTTCGTATTATGCAAAACTTTACACCAAACGATAAACTACATCAAAACCGAAATTTAGAGGGGCAAATTATTTTGCTGAGAACTTGAAGTTACGTCGGAGTCATTTGAAAATTTCGTTTACGGTAAAAATGAGAAAAACTTGAAGATCATTCCAAACGAAATTCATCGTAAGTCAGCCTTCGTTTTGACCACCGATCACACCCAAGTAAAACTTCATATGACATTTACATCGATTTCGAAGACTGCACTGTGAACTTCTGTAGGCAAAACACGCTTTATTTTAGTGTTTCTCCGAAGAACTGCGCAGTCTTGAATCGATGATAACGCCAGATATTCTCAAGGAGAGGAATTGCTACTGAGAATCGATCGAATTTCCATAGAATTACGATGTAAATGATCAAGGACTTTGGTAGAAATCAACCGAAATTAATCGCAGAAAAAACAAAGCTTCCCACGATTACAATAGCGTGATCTGCAATATTCCTCGCATCAAAAGTGTTTCTCTGTAAAATTCTCAACACACAGAAACTAAAAATTACAGATCCTTACCTCAAATCCAGTTGGCACAATCTCGAATTATCCTCGGCTGTTGGGATCGTGTTTGTATTTCGGCTACAATATGGAAATCCAATCTTTGCAGCTGTCACCTGGATCATTAAATATTCACTGCCCTCTCAGCTTCCGCTAGTTCACAGATAAGATCACAACCGAACAATCGCTAAGCAATATTGATATGCTGTAATCTAAAATAATCTATTTTGGACAGTGAAAGAAAACTGATGACACATTAAAAGGGAACACAATAGGAAATTTAAAAAAGATATGTAAAAGACAACTTAAAATGCCTTAACCTGCCCTTCCTTCAAATAAGGAACGATAAAAAGGGTTTTTTTGACAAGTAACTGAAACAATTATATAATACACCGCTTTTAATACTTAGAAAGTTTATTTTAAATGATGTAAGTAAAGGTAAACACAGATTGGGTTAATTAAAGTACAATTTGAGCTTTTTTGCTGTCAAAATAACATAGGATTGAAAAGTCACAACAAACGATGGCAGAAATGACCAGAGAGGTAATTCAGAGCGTTATGACAAAAATCATCCATACCACATGTCAAAATGTCAAAATGTATCATTTATTCTCCAGATTACTTTTTGAAATTATTTCTTTTTTTCTACTTCTAATGATGTAGTACTTTTACTACACTTTCCTTGGCAATCTCGTTCAAACCAGAGATGTTCCCCTTCATTTGCAATTGTTTGATGGGAAAGAGAGAATACACTTCATTCGATGGTTTAAAATAAAATGCAATCAGATATTTTGCGAGTTGTGTAGTATTTGTCCAAGCCCCGTAGGGGCCAGGAAAAAAAAAAACGAGAAATGAGTAAAATGTTCGCTTGTATTGCATGTAATAACATCGGATAAGGGATTTATCATTCCCCTATCATTTCATTGCCTAGAATTTTAACTTTCATCGTAAATTTTTTATCGATCGAGTAAGGCGTGCGCGAAAGACAGAAAAAGAAACACAAACGAAACCATTTAAGAGTTCTTTGTGACCAAAAGTAAAATCTGATCCGCTTAAAAATTCGTATCCCAAAAGTCAAGGCTAAAAGGATACTAAAACTCAGAGTTTGGATTGTTCAGCGCTGCCATTACGTTCCGCCGCTATCCTTCCGTATTTTTTCCCTGTTCTAGAGAGTGGTACAGTTGTATATTATGTGTGTACCAGTGCCCTAGTTTGGTAAAATGGTGTAATAGTGGAATTATAAAGAGTTACACGCGCAGAGAGAGCAGAAAGGTGGGAGAACTAACTCACTCATGCGCGGTTGAATTAAGGGAGTGCCGCAACAGCTATGCACCGTATTTATAAGACATCACGGCAGCCAAAACAATAAGATGTAGTAATTACTTCCGTGGGATGTGGATGTGAATGTGGCTACGAAGTGATCATATGATAAAATTTGATGTTGAGCAAAAGTAAGCACCATGCGCCAAGCCCGCGCCCCCCCTCAAAAATTTTTTTTCTTTTCATTATTCACCCCCTACACTTATGACACTTTTTTAGCAAAAAGGACGAGGACAACAAATGCTCTGTCACCGACATGCCTAGTGGCGGCTTTGAGATTCCTTGAAAGCGGCGAAAAACTTTTCCATGAAATGCGATCCGAAATGAACCAAATAGCACAGAAGCGTGTTTAAATTTTTAAATTTTGCGCGGAAGGATGCCTCCGGACCTCCCTTCGGCCTTGTATCAGAATAAACCACAATCTCATCTGCCATAGGGCCTCTTCTCTTCAAAATTCGTTTCTCCAGGCCCACCTATAGATGATATCCTTCGAGCCCCTGTTACATCCAGTTGTCCCGTATGAAGAGAGAGCCGTTATCAAAGCCAAAAAAAGCTTCGAGTTCTACAATAACGTCCTCAATCTACACGTTCTGTTGCAATGCCTCGATAAGTTCGCCGCATTTTGTCTTGACAAATTTTTCTAAGACTGTGCAACAGTTGTCACATGACTTGGTATACGATGCGCATGCGCAACCTCTGATTGGCAGTTTGTTATATCCCCAACAACTGTTCAGCTCGTTAGCGATCTCCAGGGCTCGGCCTTTCTCTTTCAAAAACTGTTCCCTCAGTTGCCTAATTTCACGGGCATGCTGTTCCTTAAGCCAGCGAAGATGATTATTTAAGAGGCACACTAGATTCTCCGCTTCTATGTTGTCGAAATTTGGACAGTTCTTGAGCTCTTGAAAGTTCATTCTTGCGAGGGAGGCCAAGCATTTTTCAAGCAGCCGCTTCAGCGAGAATTCCTGCGCCAGGATCACCAGCTCAACCGAGCTTTGTTTCTGTAAGAGACGCTCCTCGCAGCGAGAAGTTAGTTTACTTATCTGGTATTCTCGGGACAACTCCAAAAGGCTTCTTACATCGTGCTGATCTGAAATAGTGTATTTAATATACAAAGTTGACTTTACGAAAAAGCTTCACCGACTATTACCTGTGAGTTTCTTAGATACTCTTCATGGTGGCCAATTTACATTATCAACTCAGTTGATACAACTAAATTATCTTGTTATACCCTCTCACCGACGCAGCATCATAGTTTCTTTAGTGACTTACTCCTTCACTCAGCTATAGAGCAATGTCTACTGTTACGGAAAAATTGAAAAAAACCTTTGACGGGGGGGGGAAAGTCTAAAAAAGACTTGCTGTGGGGGTCCACGGCCATGTTCCCCTAAAAGACCTACAGTTCACATCATTTGCTTGAAAATGGAAGGGCCAGTCCTTTCACCCCTCTCTTCACTTCTTCCCTTGACATAAGCCTCCCATCCCCCCTTCCCTTCTTCCCTTGACATAAGCCTCCCATCCCCCCTTCCCTTCTTCCCTTGACATAAGCCTCCCATTCCCCCTTCCCTTCTTCCCTTGACATAAGCCTCCCATCCCCCCTTCCCTTCTTCCCTTGACACAAGCCTCCCATCCCCCCTTCCCTTCTTCCCTTAACACAAGCCTCCCATCCCCCCTTCCCTTCTTCCCTTGACATAAGCCTCCCATCTCTCCTTCCCTTCTTCCCTTGACATAAGCCTCCCATCCCCCCTTCCCTTCTTTCCTTGACATAAGCCTCCCATCCCCTCCTCCCTTGACAAAAGTCCCCCCCCCTCTTTCCCTCTTTCTTTGACGTAACCCTCATAATAGCAACACCTTTTCACTCTACCAAGTGGCTAATGGTAAACATATTAGTATAGCCGTCTTAAGGTTTTCATTCAGAGCTGGTAGGCTCTGGCTCTCACACAATTTTGCGACGGGTACTCTGTAAATATGTGGCTAAAGATAGAAAACAAACTTGTGTGAAGTGATTCTGTCAAGCTAAGAAAAAGTTACTCAAAGATGTAGCTTTGAGAACACTGGAAATCACATCTCGGACAGTTTCAAATTTCATATTTCTCCAGGAAAGCATGCCCCCGGAAACATTTGAAATTAACCTCACAATGCAAGAATAATTAAATTAAGCTGCCTACTTAGTTCAGATCATGCACCAATTACATCTCCTAATTACAACCCTGCTATCCTATCTCAGCTTGGCTATTTATGATCCCCCCAACAATTCCAAATATCAATTAACTTCATAAATATTTACGTAAATTTATTCTGGTGATTTTTTTGATGACTTATGTCTCCCTGTAAAAGGAAAAATTTGGTGAAATAAAGCTATTGAGGAATGTTTGCTCAGAGGATTTTTTGCTCATTTTCCTACACCTTTTGTCAGACTGTGATTCACAGACTGTAAGCAGCTACAAGCTGTAGCTTATTTTGGCAGTCTTGATACACTTTCAGGACTGTTACCTTTGGGAAAGTGGCTGTTGTAGAGGGTTTGAAACAAGAGTGAACATGGATTTTTCACCTTTACCCAAAAAAGTGTTTTTCACATAGAGGTTATTACAAAAGTAATCATTACAAGGGTCTAATGAACTTGGTTTAAATAATTATAAACATGAGTGAATCATTCACATTTGCTTGAAATACAAAAAATTTCAATTTAAGCACCCCTCCCTCCCTCCTAAAGCCCCTAAAAGTACCTTACTAATTGCATGCCTCCTGATTGATTCAGAAAGTTAAAGAAGCATCCAGTGGTTTAAACTTCCCAGGACAACAACCTTCAGTGTGCAGCCCATGCATGAGAATAATCCACCCCATTATCAAAAGCAATTCAATTTACATTCCATCTTGATAGTTTATTGCATTCCTACGTAAATCTTAGTGATGTGTTATCTGAAACATTTGTCACCTTATCCTTGTGTCTGTAAGGATTTTCTAAATGGAAAGCAGAAGGGAAAAAGGGAAAGGAAGAATGCATTAAGTAGACAGGTGACAACAAGGCATGGAGAGTAGAGAGAGCAGCTTGAGCATGTGAGGTTAGTAAGTTTATTATATAGCACATGAACCAAACTTGTTTATTTTGAATTTGCCAGATTAAGCCGACAGAAATACATGGCTTATGACCATTTCCATGGAAATGGTCTGCACAGCAAAATGTTGACAGACTAAGGACCAATCAGAGTGCTCAGATTTACCTAATGACTACTTTGCCATGTAATAATGCAATTTAAGATGGGTATAGAGTTATACTAATTGATGCTTTTCAAAAAAGAACACATTCAAAATGAAATCTGTGCAAATAAATTTCATTGCTTCAGTTCTCTACTGCCCTTTTTACATATAAAGAAATGCTTCAAGCTTTGTCAAGCTTTGTCATACATCTACAAAATATTCTGAAAATAAGAGAAAACTAAGAAGGGCTTACCAGAAATCTGCAGAGGGAATGGATATATCATACACAGTAATTCATAAATTTTTTCTGCCTTCTTCCCCGGGAGGGGAATTTCAGTTGATGTGGCTTCTTTAAAGCCCGACTGGAACATTGTGTTGAACACAGGTGAGCTGATAGCCAGAATGGATCTGTGCACATGAAACTGCTTGTCCTCTACCACCAATACAGCGTCACTAAAATTCCAAGGCTCAGAAAACTTTGGCAGGTGATCTCCATTGTTAAACAGGTCCATACCTGATGATGAGCACATCAATAGTTATGCGGTTAGACAATTCAATGCCAATTGGCCAATCCAGCTAGAACTTATCCAGTTTTCCATGCCATGAGCCAATTAGGAATATTAGGCCACTTGGAAATCATAAGCTTGTCTACCCATTAATTCTATCACCTTTTAACCCCTAAGAGTGACTAACATCTATTTTCTCCTTACAATATCACCACTGAATCACACATTAACATCATGTGGGAATTAAGGAAATGATCCCCAACTAAAGAAACTCTTGATTGTTGGAAAAATTCTCCTTGTCAGCACCTTAGTAAATGTACAGAGAACCGTATGGAGAATATGAATTCTGATGTTAGCCTGTAAAGGGTTAACTCTTGTGAGTGACCAAGACCAAATTTTTCCATACAATATCAATACAATATCAAGCAATATCAAGCAATATCAAGAAAGGACTATGCTATTCCTTTTTCTTATGTCATGGCTGAATGAGGAAGTGCAAGAAAGCTATTTGACACACTTAGATTTTAAAACTACTGAGTTTCAAAAGGCTTGGAAACTCTTTACACTGGCCAATTCATGTTATCAACTCAGTTGATAATACTAGATTACCCTGTTATACTCTTTCACTAATGCAGCACCACAGTTTCTTAATAAATTTGCCCCCTTTTTTCAAAACTACTCCTTCATTTGGGAACACATTCATATGTAAGGACTTGGAAAAATGTTTTCAGCACAATGAACAATAAGCATGGTGTAGAAAATTTGGCACATTGAAGCTTTGAATTTATTATTTTCACTACTGGCTAAACTATAAAATGCAGAGCTTCTTTTAACCATCTACCAAACGAGCCTGCTCGTGTAGCTCATTTGCTCCTTTGTTGACCCTAGAGACCAAGACAGAATTTCTCCTTACATTATCAGTACGATATCAAGCAGACAAGTAATGAGAATAAAGAAAAATATCAATTAGGGGATTATTGGTTGATCCAATTCCAAATTATCCAAACTAACATCACATGAATTGTATGGCAGACAGTAAGGAGAATTACTCATAAGATTTTGGGAGTTGAGGGGTTAACAGAAAAGACCACTGCTGAGCCAAATGAACCAAACAAGTCACTAAATATATAGACCTAAGACTTAATCTGCATATAATTATTCCTCATTCTTTCATTTACTGCTGAGCCAAACGAGCCACTAAACATATCCAACTAAGATTTGATGGGCATATAGATTATTCCTAGTTTCTCATCCACTGCCAAGCCAAATGAGCCAAACAAGCCGTTAGATACATGTAGATGTTCCTTCAAAAGTGGCTCTGTATTGTATAGTTGCTCCCCATCAGTTAAATCAACATAGTTGATGACATTAAATTACCCCATTATTTTGATCTAATTCACTCTAAACAGAAGTCTCACCCAATACTCGGGTGGTAAGGGGCCTAAAATTTGAAAATCAACAAACGGGAAAATAATATGTGTACATATTCTCAAGATTTGAGAATATAATCACAGCTGAAACAGGGCCTGAAAAATTGAGTTTACTTTGATTTCCAAGATGGCGATTACGACACCTAGTTTCGAGACATTGAGCTTCGCTGAGAAGGAGGAAATACTGTTGATAACATTCCAATGCGCTGTTTCTAACCCTTTATACCCCAATGTTTTGGCATGGAAGTAATGAAAAATACGCCTATATGCGCTTCCAGGTGCCTTTGAAAGACGAGTGTTGCAAACATGTTTGTCACTACTGAAGTAAACATTGGTTCAAAGACAACTGATTCCGTTTAAGATAAAGTATCACTAAACGATGAACAGCTACTTTGTAACACTCTACGTGGAAGAGAAAAAATTATTTCCTCATACCTTGCAAAGTCAAATTTGAGGCTGTTGACGGTAAAAGTTTTAGTTTGACTCGACTTAGTTTACCAGATTCAAATGAAGTCAGCACTCATCAGCCAAAACAAAATTTTGGTGGTGTAAACATAATCGAAATTTCTTACGGCAGAATAGGTCCGTAAGGCGTACGAGCGTGCGTTGGCAAAGAAGAAGATCGGTGTTTAACTAATGTGTAACATAGGTATCACGCTTAAAAGAAAAGAAAAGTACAAATGGCGATTCAGTGAGAAATCTTTGGTGGGTAGACAACAAATTTTAGAAACATGCGAATAAAGAATTACATGCTTCTGCTTAAATGTATCGGTATTTATAGAATATATGAAAACGTTCAGATGGAATTTTTACCTGTGCGCGTGAAAAGCATTAGAGTTGCCATTACTATTTCAAGACCAGAACCTAAAAATGTTGAAATTCTAACACTTGAAGATAAGAAAAGTAAAGCATACAATTTCAATTTCCTTTGCTGATCTGGCATGAAACGAAATAAAAGACGGTTTGTTGTCGTAAGTGGGACAGTCAGAGCCTTGGTTGGGAACAATAAATTTTCACATCGGGTTTTTGGGTAAAAATGATTGGACCCAGACTTCTTTCAAAACTGTGTCACGTATCACAGCGGACGCGTTTTTAACTGCGTAGGAACGGAACTTGTAATAGAGGTCTCTCTGTGTTCCAAGACACGTTAACTGCGTGGGAAGGGGAGCTGTAACTGAGGTCTCTCTATGCTCCGAGACACGTTAACTGCTTGGGAAGGGAACCTGTAACAGAGCTCTCTCTGTGCTCCTAGACACGTAAACCGCGTGGAAAGAAAAGCTGTGGCAGAGGTTTCTCTGTGCTCCTAGACACGGGGAGCTGTAGCAGAGGTCTCTGTGCTTCTAGACGCGTTAATAGCGTGGAAAGGGGAGCTGTGACAGAGGTCTCTCTGTGCTCCTGGACACGTTAACTGCATGGGAAGGGGAACTGTAACAGAGGTCTCTCTCTGCTCCTAGACATGTTAATCGCGTGGGAAGGGAAGCTGTAACAGAGGTCTCTCTGTGCTCCTGGACACGTTAACAGCGTGGAAAGTGAAGCCGTAACAGAGGTCTTTCTTTGCTCCTCGACACGTTACAACAGGATCGTTTGGATTGAGTGCTACCGAAATGGAGAGGAAGGGCAAAGACTACTTCATTAAATAATAGAAACAGTTGTAAATCGCTCGTTTTTTGGCGAGGGATTTACAAACTTTTTTGGTGTTTTTGCCAAGCGAGTTATTATGCCAGTAAAGCGGTCTATTGCTTTCATGAAATAAACTTAAAATATTTCAATTTTCTACCAGTTGACTGGTGCAATAAATGATGGGTTCTTGACCAATTAGTATTTTCGTTGTATCTCAGCTATCTCAGAAATACAATTAACTTATGGATAAAACCGAACACAGTTTTTAACTTCGACCGATTTCAAAGTACACCACAGAGATTTATTACATCTTTCAAAGTTCATTTGTTGAAGTTTTTACACTCAGTTATTTAACCAGGCAAGAATCTCATCTTGAGTATGCACACATCAATTTGTATTTCCTCCTCAATAGACAAGTCAGACCGCTTATTGAAATAATGTGTTTGTATATCACGTGTTTCTTTAATATCTACAGTGACATGACTACAGAGCTGAGAAATCGAAAGTAATTTCGGGTTTGTATCGGTTTTGTTTTTTCTTACCCCGTGATTTGTCTAAAAAAAATTTACACCACCTTCTCAACCATACAGATCCAAGAGTCGAACCAATCGAGGCTTATTCACTAACATTTTCCGGCACTCGGGATCACTTCAAGCTCTTATTGGCACTGATTGAATGATATTTTCTTTGATTTGTTTTCTTTCTCCTTTTTCTCTTGGTCTTAAGGCGCTCAATTCTAAATGATGTTTCAGGAACCCAATTTTGTTTTAAAGCTGTATAGTTCAGTTACACCAAGGGGATCGGGAGCTTTAATATTCTTCTCTTTTCTTAACTCTGCCTCTCAGTAACGTACTCCTTTGAGTCATGAGATGGGGGGATGTGGCCCCTGGTTCACCTTTACTGCGAAACGCTTCACGAATTTAAAAGGACCATCCACAAGAGTGTAAATTATTTTATTTAAATAAGTATTTAATAACTAAGGTTTTGATTTATAACAATTAACGCACATATTTATAGTCTTTCTTAATCTGTTCATACTTCAGTGTTTTTAAACTTATCTGTTGGTTGAAAGGACCCCTCTGTGAAACACTTTTGTAGTGAAGAAGGTATCCTCGATTAAGATTTACTCTATTACTTTTAAGTTTGAATGATAAGTCTCTATTTTTACGATCTTTCAGGGGTGGAGAGAATGCCATTCTCCTCTAAGAGCCTGCCCTTTCTTTTCTTAATTGGACAGATTATGTTTAAAGTTCATAAGCTCTTCAACAAAATGGTAAAATTTAATAACAGGAATTCACCGAAGGTATCTTTTGTTTTTTATGAGATAAAAAGAGAGGCACAGCTACGTTGAAACTTTTTCGAACAATTGTTCAAAATTAGACTCTTAATTGGACAATTATGTTCAAAGTTCAAGTTACAAAATGAGGCTCGGTACAGGCTCTGGAATTAAACTGTAGATGAAATCTGATTTAATTCGTGTTTTGACTGGTCTGTGACATTTCTCACTGAAACTGTTGATGAAATGCCTCTTTCGTTGTAATGATCAATGAGTTCATCGATTTGAAGGAAACTGAAATCGTAAAATTGTGATAAAACATTTGACAATCTTCGTGGAACCTCTTTCGGATCGAATCGACTTAGAAGGGTACTTTCCTTTAAAAAAAAGAAATTGATATCTCATGAGCGCTTAATAAAGACTTATTAAAGTGACAAGGTTTTCTTGCCCCTCGTTAATTCTAATGTAAATATGTCGTAGATAAAATGAACAACAATAGTATTTTCCAATCTCGGGAATGAAATTATAAAATAAATCAATTACATTATCTGTTTCGCTCGCTTCTATTGATGTGATGATCAGAATGAAGGAAAATGAAATCGTACAACCGCGATAATGTAGTTGTCATTCTTTGTTGAACCTCTTGCAAATCGAAGTAACTTAGAAAATCATTTTCCTTTCATAAGAAAAAATCAATAATCTAATTGATAACTGATCAGCCGTTCCAGGGAACAACACCGTACACGTATGCCCAGGTCTAAAAAGGATATGACTTCCAGCGGAATGAAAGATCTCATGAAGTTTTCCACATCTTCTGCATTCGATCGTACAGTCATTCTTAATGACACTCTTGATCCACGATAGAGGCGAACGTCTCGATGGATTTCGTAATTGATAAAATCATGCAATGAGGCGAGGATGCTTCTGAAACGGGATACCAAAGCTTGTCTGCCTTCATCACCAACGATGATGCCATTTACCTTCATTGAGAAAAAAAAAATTATGTTGTTAGATCTACTGGAAAAAAAAATAATGCCATCTCATGGTTCCTTGACGAGAAAAACGGATAGTGAATTGTACGGATTGAAAAAAAGAGAGTATGGCTGGTGTCACGAATCGATCAATTAAATGATTTTGTTTTCTGATTCGATACTCAGATGACATGTTTGGTGATATTCATCCTATGGTTAGAATAAACCATATATTGGGTGGTCGGTATCCGCCGCTTTCGCTTCCTATCGAGTTCGCCCCTTCGAGTTCGCCTTTACCTTATACCGTGTTCGCCCCCACACTTTTCGAGTTCGACCCCACCAAGTCGAGTTCACCCCCAGATTGAGTCATGTCTAAATTAGTTGCTATCGAACATTGCAAACAAGTTAGAACCAAGTTTATTTACCGAACATTTCGTGTTCGTTAGATAAACCAAGGTTGGTTTGCATCTTTTCCAATCTGAATAATGAGTTAAGCAATGTTGTTTTGATTAAGTGTGGTTCTCTTTATCACAAGTTCAGTGTATAGTTGATTCCGTTAACCTAGTTCCCAAGCAGGTTCCACGCAATTGCCGAAATTCAAAATGGTCGTCGCTGACGTGACATTTGGCACATTCTGCTAGTGCCTTCGTCACAAATCAACTCATCTGGATATCACTTAATCAAGAGGCGAACTCGACTTTATGGGGTCGAACTCTAAAAGTGTGATTGATCGATTCGATGAAATTAAGATTATCACTCCAAAAAGTGAAACAAAGATGACAATCTACATTTAAGGTGTCAATGGTTTTTATACTTGAACGTAGACGAGACAAGCCCGATGAAATAGAGTTCCCACAAACAAAGGCATGTTCGATCTAAACAAAGAAAAATGTATACCACCTCCTTTGAATGAAAGAAGAACTGAAAACGACTCTACTCACCTGTACGATTGCTGCTGTTATATTCTCTAATCTCATGAGTTCGTTCAACTCTTCCAATGCCCTTTGTCTCAATCGTCCTGGAAGGGTGTGGGAGATCCTTGCCTCGTCGTCTACTCGGTCATCATCTTCTCGGTCTTCATTTTCAAGCCATGCATCGTCTGTGTTAACATTTTGGCCACAATACAGACAATAAAGTTTCGCATGTAACAAGTCTGCTAGACAGTTTTTGTGAATGGGTTTGCTGCAACAACTTTTGATGTTGCAATTGCGTAAATTCACGTCGATTTCCCTCTTACAAATTCCGCAAATCGAATCGATGCTTGTAAACACTGGTTCCAAGCCTGACAATCTTAACGATTGCCTAGACGCGGCCATTTTTAATTAGAAATTCGGGTGGTGCCGTTTGAATTAATATTTATGACTTAAAAAAGATGGCGGCATTACTGGCGGTTGTTGAACGCGAGTGGATGTCAATTGAAGCGGATTGGATGAAGAGAAGTCAACGCAAAAGAAAAGAAAGAAATTTGGAACGACAGAGAGAACGTTGGCGCAAGATTCGTGAGGATCCCGTCAAATACGATGAAAATTTGGAACGACATCGTCGATACGTTCATAACTGGAGGGCTAAAGTGAAATTCTTCCCCCTTCAAAGTTTGGCACTGGCATCAACAGGATATGGTGTTGTTGATATTGCTTTCTCCACTTATCCGCCCTCCTCAATGACGACTTGTCCACCAAAACAACCAAGAAATTCTTCAGACTCGTGTTCAACAATTTTAAGGTGCAGAACAGCTTTGTCATCCAGCTAAAGAAAAATAGATCAAAGGTAAATATTTTTGCTCGTGATAGGAGCGGAATTAATTAATAATTGTGCGCTACGTTCTTGCTCACCAAGTATCTGTTGGAACTCTCATACAAAAAATGCCTCCAAGATAATTGTTGACAAACGGTTTCTCTCCTTTACAGTGATTTTCATTTATCGTATTTTGTAACTTATGTAACAGCGACCAAAAGTCATTGTTGCAATATGTTGATAACACCTTGTATCAACACTCTGGAAAGCGAGCTGGTAACTGAATCACGTTTGAATAATCCTAAAACCTTACCTGAGTCTGCAAGTGACGCCAGCTGTCATGATACAAATAGAAATTGCAGAAAAAAATCGTCACTCAAACTTTTCAATCCTCCAGACTCTTGTACCTTCGAAGTTTTTGCATCTTGTATGTGCCGGCTCTTTCATGGCGAAAAAGAAAAATCAACGTTATAGATGTGATCTGTTATATACTGAGGGTTTCCTCTTGTCGTCACTACCAAACATGACAAGGTTAGAATCTTTCAAGTCATATTGCTGTGGTTTCACCAAAACACAGTGAAAGATAGATAATGGCTGCAACCAGCTTATAAACTACTCAATACGTAAGAAAGATGTTCTTTCGTCTTGTCACGAGCGTGGGACAAAGAAAAAATTCTGAGTTCCCATGTAAATTTTTCAAACTCACTTGATGTATTATCTCACCACCTGCTGTAATATGGGCTGGGATTGGCTCTGACGGGAGTCTTGCTGTTACTTGTACAGTAACCTTGGTTAGTGATTTTTCTCTAAAGAATTTTTTACCATATTTTTGACATTTCATATTAGAGCATCTGGTTGCTGGGATTCGTAGAGTTGCCCCTCATGGATCCCACATGAAACCGACTGAGGCTAGTCAAAGTAACAAAACTTAAGGGAAATTCGAGAATCCTGAGTATCTGGGCAGCAGTTTTCGCTCGAAAAGCTCTTAGGATTTCGAGTGGAGAAGGTCTAAGTAATATTTCTTCTTGCTCAATTGCTTAAAATGAACTTTATGCGATTCATACAATTTAAAATAGATTCAAATTCGAGTTTGTGGGTAATTGCCTTTTTATGAACGCAATTCATAACAATTGAGGAATAATAACTGAGGTAGGGTGAAAAATCAAACATCTTATCATCACCAGAAATCGGGGACATTTAGAGTCCGCAGGTATAAGTCAGCAGTATATCGTATTTTATTACAAAACAGGATGGCGACTCTCTCCACTCGATCTAGGCGAGAGCGTATTTCATATGACATTCTCCATAATTTATGTTCTGCCGATATATTGTTTCCTGAGAGGAAGAAGGAAAAGAGGTCTCTTGGTAAAAATCTCTGGAGTTTATGAAGCAGAGTTCGCCCAACTTCCGAAGTAATAATAATAATAATAAACTTTATTTACGTGTCAAATAAGATAGCAGTTTCCCACTAAGTAAGGACACCTAAACTAAACTAATCTAATCTATATAAAACTGTAAAACTATGCATTAAAAATTTATTGGAATATGATAAAAGAGCTCTTCCCATATAAAACTACCCTACCCCGAAAATAGTAGACCCCATGTTTATAATACCCTACCCTGTATAATAAGATAATAACCTTAATATAATGAGATAATAAGATAATAATAAATACAATAATATGATCTTGATAATATTTAAAATATTTAAGATTTACATAAAATACAGTTCTTGCAATTATTCGAAGGGATTAAACTTTGTATATCTACTTTATGTAAAGCGTTTTTAAATTCTTGCAGCGTTCTTAGTGCTCTTATTTTTTCATCTAACTTAGACCAGATTACTGGACCTAAGTACCTAAGAGAGTGCTTACCATAGCGCGTAGTACTAACTCTAGGGATAATGAAATCATTGTTTCTTAAATTATATTTGTTGTTATTAATAACAAACAGGTTCTTGATATTACTAGGGCACAGATCATTTTTAACTTTAAACATTAACACAGCTATGTCATGTAATCGCCTATTACGTAAGGTTTTTAAATTAGCCCTCTTAAGGAGGTCGCTATATGATGATATGCTATCACAATAAACAGCTCTAAGGGCCCGTTCTTGTACCCTCTCTAATTTTCTAGAATCACTAGCTTTGCAACAATTCCATACAATACTACAGTAAGTTAAATAAGGCAGAATAGCAGCCTTAAAAAGTTGTAATTTAGCCTTGGCTGGGATTAACTTCCTTAATCTATTAATTACACCCACCCTTTGACCGCTTTTTTTACAGATGTTACTTATGTGATCAGAAAATTTAAATTATCATCAATATTTACACCCAATAACTTAATAGAATTATATGATTTAATGGCTGTTCCGTTAACATTTAGCTCTAACTGTTCATCATTTAGTCTACCTCCTTTCAATATCATTGATCCATATTTATCAAAGTTCCCTTTGAGAAAGTTCGTATCGTACCAATTTGTAGCTCTTTGTGCAGTATCCTGTAGTTTTGTTTGTATAGTATTGATATCCTTGTTGACTTCGTAGAACTGATGGTCATCAGCATACATCCCAATTTTTGAAGGAATTCCGAACGTCAAGTCATTTTGGAAAAGATTCCATAAAAGAGGTCCAAACGAGGACCCTTGAGGGCATCCTTTCTTGACCCTTTTCCAGGAGCTTGCAATTCCACCAATTCTTAGCCTATTATAGCGATCCATAAAATATGATTTCATTAGCTTAATGCTCTCGTTTTTAAAGCCATATGCCTCCAGTTTAGCAAGTAATAGAGAATGATGAAGACAATCAAACGCTTTACTCATGTCAGTACTTAACAGGCCAACGCTCATTCGATTATCCAGAGCATTTTTCCAGTCTTCCGTCAATGCTAGTAGTGCCGTTTCACAACTGTATCTCTTCCTGTATGCTGTCAGGCTATCGCTCAAACGTTCATTAAATTCTGCTGTAATCTGATTTGTAAGAAGTTTTTCAAAGGTCTTATTTACCATGATCGCTATACTTACAGGACGGTAATTTTCCATGTTCAAACGATCGTCCTTTTTATAAACAGGCACCCACTCGCTTTTCTTCCAGTTCCTTGGCCAATGACAGCTGGCGATACATTGATTATAAAGAGCGCATAACGGTGTAGCAAGCTCCGAAAAGCGTATCTTAAAAGCAATGGGTGGAATATTATCCCATCCCGAGGCTTTCTTGGGATTTGTGTCTTTCAAGATTTTCTGAAAGTAAAGGCTAATCGTACTGTGAGGCTGCTTTTTGTCGAACGTATTCTAAAGGAAACTTGGAACCTATTTTTAACTGCCACTCGATTTTTTGCCTTTTGTATTCGCTCAGTAAATCAGCCATGTAAACCAAGTAATCAATCAAATTTCCCACATTTGCACATGCACATGACCCATGACTTCGTTTCCGTATTATTTGTGCGAGAGAAGCCTGGGGCCTAGCTATCCCAAGAAACAGCAGGGGCGAATTTTAAAAACAAGAATGGCGGCGTAAATCTCTTTCTTGCTAGGTTCCGCACACGTAATCAAGGAGAGCTTTAAAAATTGCTGCACGGGTTTTTAGATTCTGCTAAAATTCATGAAACTCAACGACACTTGGACGAACTTTAGCGAGGGAAAATCGATCTATTTACGAGCGGTACAACTAAAGCAAGCTTCGTACAACACATCTCGAACTGTGCACAATCAATCATCAGTTGGGATCTCTCCGTATTTTTGAATTATCAATATGATGTCCGAGGAGATTTTGAAATAATATATGGGAAAATGGACCTCAAATTTACGGCTGGATTGTAAGCATCCGGAAGAAGGTAGGCGTTGAATTTTACACCTCTTTTTCCTTGTCAATAACTCGGCTACTCCATTTTAAACACATTTCGAAGTATGCAAAAGGCACCCACTGCTTTAGAAATAATATATTTTCAAAAATGTCTTTTTATCTATACATTTTCCGAAGTATTTTAAGCGCCATTACTTTATATGATGCGCAAGCACGGTCGCCATCTTGTCTGGCAATGTTTTGATGTTCCATCTTTCCAAAGAAAACTGTACCATTCATGTTAAACATGTGTCATTAGTGAGGGAATTCCTCGAGAGCATTCGAGCCTTACTTACCGAGTCAGTGCCAATATCACACTCGGATATGGGTTCGATTTTATTACTTATGCCGTTTGTTGTTGGGGGCATGTTTATCAGTCTGGAAAGTCACGAATTTCTCCAGAAGGTTGCTAGACTCTCCCTTTTGCTCTCTTGTTATCTAAAGTTTAGAACATTCTTTAATGAACTCCCTAACATCTGATACTGAGCCTCACTCCCAAACACGTCCGCCATTTTGAAACAACCCAAAACTTGCGAGATGCAGAGTATTTCTCAAGTAACATTACTGAAAAAAAAAAAACAAAAAAAAAAACAGACAGAACAAAAAGAAGCACTTCTGGCTGATTTCCCAAAAGGAGTTCACAGCAAGAAACTTCTACAATAAGTCTAAGGTTACTTGAAGTTGCAAATTACAGGAATATTTCTTGTGACTAAGCCTGTTTCTAGCCCTTGAGTAACTTCTACTTTTGAAAACACCTGAGGGCACAGTTTTTAAGAGCTGTGGACAAGTTCTGACTAGCATCCACTTGCCTGAGAGTCATTTTAACTAGTCCAGCCTCTACTTTCCCACTGGACATAAATAGGTTATAGTCCACCAGCTCGATCACAAAATCTATTGGCGTCAAGTAATCAGACCTGACAGCTGTGTACAAATCATGGAATAGCAGTTTTTTTTTAATGTTTACCAGGGTTACATCTAAAAGGGGAGCTCCAAAAATGAAAAAGTCTCCAGAGGTTTAATGTTTTCATTGTTCTCAACTTCTAGACAAAACTTTTCATTAATAATTGAACCTGCTTTATTAAAACAAAGCAGTTGGCTTTTTACAATGTTATTAAAATTCAAGGAGCTCCTAGAATTGCAGTGCATAAGTGGAAGAAACAATAGATTTTATTTATTTGGAATCTAAACTAATCTTGTGAATAATCTTTAAGGACCTGCTTTGATACAAAGGTTGAATCTGGAAAAAAATAATCATTCAATTAGAAATAATATTTGTTCATTTTTGTTACAGAATCTGTGACCCATTCTGCCCTTTTATTATTTTACACAAATTCAAATTAGTTTTACACATCACATCATCATGTGAGGTTATTAGACCAATCATGAATATAGGTGTGGAGTAGAAAGCTTCTAATGAGTATGACCATGGTAAGATTTACATCATAGGACTAGCACTTAAAACAGTACCATCTAAAAATTTGTTTTGTAATTAAGTAAGCCTTCTTCTAGACTGAGATAAGTTGCGCATGTCTAATTTGGTCATTTTGTCAATACCTCAATGGAAGGAAATGAGTTAACAATCTCAATTCAAGCAAACAGTGTATCAGATCATTATGGGATGCCACAGTGTGACTTTGCACTGTTTCTATCTTTCTTATGTCAATGCATGTGAAAGTCATTGCTTAATCATGAGCTTATTGCACCATTTAGTTGAGTGGACAGAATATCCTTCCTTGACCACAGTAAGGGCAGTGGTAGGATGCTGGTCCACCTCTGGGCATTGCTGAAGGTGGTGCTGTTAATGAATCAGAATGATTCAATTGGGTTCCTTAAACTGCTTACCTTTTTACCTTTCTTTGACCTTTCATAAAATTATCATTTCAGCCCAACAAAATTTCATAATAAAGTAAAACCTTCTCTTATGTACCCCACTCCCTATGTGTGATTTCATAGCTCAGTTGACAATAGCATCCAACTATTATCTGGAAGGTAGGGATTAGAATCCTATGGAAGCCTGAACTTTTAAGACCTTTCTTCTGCAATTGCTAAAATTGAGGTTCACCAGTTAGGATCATTCCTTTACTTACATGTGCATAAATCAAGCCACTGTTCTTGTCTCCTAGCCAGTCTTCTCCAACTCAAATGAAAAAAATTATCTACTGAATTCATATTTCTAAAACACACATCAACAAGGGTCCCTGTAGAAATATTAATGATAAACCCACATCAAAAAAGGATGAGGTAACATTCCTAAAGGATGCTGCACAAGCACAAGGGCAACTTTATGAGGGGCGGCACAGCAAAAGGATTACATGGTATGCCTCAAGAGAAAGCTTTGGTACATGACTGGAAGTTATGACTGGTTTTATTAAAGCATATCAATGGTTGAGAAAGTACAATTGAGTTTTACCTTTAACAAACCTTTGGGTGTTGGGATGCAATCCAACAAAATAAAGGATTATAGCTTTAATTTTTGAAACAGGATCAAAAACCACAACTATAATGCAAGAAAAGGCAGCAGCAACTAAAGACAATAAGCAATAGACAATATGAAGTTTTGCTTAGCACAGAAAATCCAATAATAATCTTCTGAGCTTTGAACTATGGTATCTCTCTATGCAAATAAACTGTAATATAGGATTTGGCCTCCGGTCTGTTGTTATCATAATAATCTCAGACCTTCTTCAGAATTCAGCCTTGGACTGTGCAGATCTGCTCCTTCAACAACTTTCATGAATTCCAGTCAAGGAGTTCCGAGTGATGTGGTTGGCAAATATTAGATTTCTCCTAGTTCTTTTATGTGTTTGCTCATTCATCCATTCATTCTTTCATTCAGTTTTTGATCCAAAATTCATTCATTTACATATTGATGATTGATTAAATTAAGTTTCATTTTCACCTCTACTATTTCATTTATCCCAAAATTCAGTTGGTACTTTGCCTTCTTGGTGAGGTAATGCACATAGTTCTGACCATAGATGCTGAATTATAGTTTATTCTCTCGATAACAATGCAAGGCTGTGCTCTAACGGCGCCCGGTCGCCTGAGGCGACTAACATTTGGCCTCGGGCGACTGAAAATATTTTCTTGGTCGCCCGGCCGGGCGACTGGCTGGTGTTGGTTTCTTGATTTACAGTCAAAAAAAAAAAAGAAAATGTTGTTCAATCGGGCGCGCGTTGATATTCAAAGGTCGTTCCACGTGAATTTACGTGTAACATAATCATCGACTTTGATCGTGACAAGCTACACAGTTTTCGATTTTAACCGCTTTTCCAAATAGTATTATAATTTTTCCTTTAAATTAGGATGGCTCGTTAGTTAGTTTTTGAAAAGCAATTGTTACTTCTGCTCTGACAGGCGTAAAGTACGGTCGACGATTAATAAATCGCTAAATGAACACGGGAGTCGTTCTTTTAAAAGAAAATGTTGTTCCAACGGGCGCGCGTTGATGTTCAAAGGTCGTTCCACGTGAATTCACATGTAGCATATTCCTTGACTTTGAACTTGACTAGCTGCACAGTTTTCGATTTTAACGGCTTTTCCAATGGCATTAAAATTTTTCCTTTATATTGGAATGGCTCATCAGCTAGTTTTTCAAAAGAAGTTGTTACTTCTGCTCTGATAGGCGTAAAGTACGGTCGGCGATTAATAAATCGCTGAATAAACACGGGAGTCGCTCTTCTATGCTAATTTAATATTTTAGCCGGCTTTTTACTGCCGTGTCTGCGAGGCAAAAACATAACTTAAGATTGTTTTTCCAGTAAAACACGATGTATAAAAAAGAAAAGATACGTTTTTTTTTGTGATTGTTTTAGAAACGGGTATAAACTCTATAAGTCCCGCATTGTCCTTGGTGTCGTGACAAGTTATTACGTATCACGCACTAAAAATAAAATCGACCGAATCCACAAAAAGCTCATTTGTCTTGAACATTTCACCGATAACATAGGAAAGAAAATACTTCTGTTCTGCTCTTAAACGATGACTTTCCAACAAGATGACTTATTCAAAAAAGATAATAGTTTTGGGGCGGCCGCGGGTTTCGTTGCGGAAATTCATGGCAGCTTTCCCGGGAAAGCCGCCACGGGATCTCAGTCATTTGTCGCAAGCGAATTTTCTTTTCAACCTAAATGATTAGTAAAAAGAATAGTTTTCTTATTTTTGACCGAAACATTTTAATAAAAATTACCTAAACAGACCTTAATCTTACTTTTCATTAAAAAAAAACATGAAAAATTCGGCAGCTTTGCCCTTGTTTCTCATGGCGCGAAAACTTTGATGGGTTTCATATGACAACATGCGGGTTTTTTTTTCGCACGCTTTGGCTAAAAATTAGCGAGTTCGCTGATCAATAAATTCACATAGTTCTATTTGACTCGTTATGAAAACAGTTTGTTTAATTTTTAATAATTAACTGAGTGATTTATTAATTTGGGCGACCAACTAGGAGGCCCGGGCACCTCAGCTAAAATGTTTGGGAGCCCTTCGGGCTCCCCGAAATTTTGATTTGGGCGACCATCTTTTAGGCCTGGGCACCCAAGCTAAAACGCTTGGGAGCCCGAAGGGCTCCCTGAAATTTTCCTTAGAGCACAGCCTTGCAATGATTACTGAAACACTTACAAACTGACAGTAAACATCATTTTTTTTCTGCGATGTGTGCGATAGACTGTAAGAATAATAAAGTTATTACAAAATGATTAATTAATTTACATAAATCAGAAGGCTGATGGCTCTATCTGGTCACTGATCGCCATATAACAAAATTAAACCGTTAAATTCGATTCCAGCCTAACTCTTGTCTGAATGGTTTCCGCTTGTTCTCAGGCACATACCAGTGTTTCGTTTTATATTAAAAAAACAACAACAACAACATTTGAGAAAATAACTTTCTGATAAAATTTCAACTTCTATTTTGAAGATCAGGTAAAATTCCTGCACAGCCCCATCCTATATTATGCATTCAGTTCTTGGATAGAGAAAACAATGACAAAAACAATACATTGCCATTGGGGAAACAGATTGTTTTACAATAGTATGGGGCTGTGCGGAAATTTTTCTAAGATCAGCTTCTAATGATGTTGGTGATTGCCTCTTTGGGGCGTGGGGAGGGGGTAGCATTTTCCTTTCTTATGGTATTAAAGGTTGGGAACCTTTTATTGGGCGTTATAGGCCATAAACTTGCGTTAACCAATCAGAATCTGAATTTTTTTTTCAGGTCTCATTTCAACTATTAGTTCAGTAGTGTTCATAGTTGGGGGGATCGCTTATATCTCATTTCTTCATGTCACGGCAGTGCATATATATGATTTCATATAATTCCAGTCATCATTCACCATTCTGAAGGTTTATTTGAATCCAACATCATGACCAGTTCCCAGTTGGCTTGTTAGCTCAGTTGGTAGAGTGCTGCACCGGTATCGCAGAGGTCATGGGTTCAAATCCCGTACGGGCCTGAATTTTTTCAGGCCTCGTTTCAACTACTAGTTCAGTAGTGTTCATAGCTGCGAGGACCGCGCATATCTCAGATTATACGTTTTTGTCCAAGGCATTCTGGCATTTGTACGCGTGTCATATCAGCGTTCAACAGAGCTTTAATTAGTACTACACATATGATACGACCAGAACAGAACAACAACTCACTAACCAATGACCACAGTGAAGCCTGATGTTCCACACTCAGCATTCAGTGAGAGGAAGAACTGAAGTTAGACTCAGAAGATTAAACGTCAGAGCAGGCAGCGAGCACAAGCTTTGTTTACCTTAGCTTAACAGTAGTAGTTAAGGGGCTCCTCTGGCTAGTAACCAATCACAGAGCAGTATTTTGTACCATGTGACGCAAATGGAGCAATCAGAAGCCTGAATTTGGGTTAGTACTCAGATTGTGAAAAATTAGCGGCCCTAGTCGGAAATGATGTGACATGAGTCAGGGAAAAGATGTCACGTAAGAAGGCCCGTACGGGATTTGAACCTCAGCGATGACCTCTGCGATACCGATGCAGCGCTCTATCCGTACGCTCTACCCGTACGCTCTACCCGTACGCTCTACCCGTACGCTCTACCCGTACGCTCTACCCGTACGCTCTACGCGCACGCTCTACTCGTACGCTCTACCCGCAGAGGGCTTAATTTTTTCAGGTTTTATTTCAACTAATAGTTCAGTGGTGTTCATAACTGCCAGGATCGATTCTATATTCGTTTTTTAAACCGCAGTGCACACATATGATTTTCGTCTGTTTACAGCCATTATTCACCACTTCGAAGGTTTATTTAGATAATGACCAGCTCCCAGTTGGCCTGTTAGCTCTGTTGGTTGAGCGGTACACCGGTAACGCAGAGGTCATGGGTTCAAATCCCGTACGGGCCTGAATTTTTTTCAGGCCTCATTTCAACTACTAGTTCAGTAGTGTTCATAACTGCGAGGATCGATTCAGTATTCGATAATGTAACGTGTTATGTTTGATATAATATCATTAATATGTTGTTGTTTTGGATTGTTTAGATGTTTCGTTTCAATAAATCTTAAATGGCTCTTTACAGATATTTCACAGAAAACTGCACATAGCACCTTTCCCTCAGTGGCATAGTTCAGGACAAAAATCTTCGTACTGAAGTAAAACAGAAAAGATTTGCTACAAGTTGAACACTTTATGGAAGTATAAAAGCCAAGACCTGAAGTTCAGATAACACCTTTGTATGCAACTGGACAATTAAGATGGAGTTCAGGGGGAGGACATAAAGAATGTGGGCAACTGCTCGTCCACCCCCCCTAACCCAACAACAGTCTATAGATAACAAGTCAGGGTTAATGTTGGGTTAGGGGAGGGGTAGGCGGGCAGTTACCCAGATACTGATATTGATCCAATTAGAAAATCTCTAGAGAGCAGAGAAGAAAAACTCAGCTTCATGTCTCTGATGACGACCGAAAGGATGTGCTTCAAATTAAGCTTAATCGTTTTAAGGGAAATTTTCTCCGTAAAGAAGGAATTTTTTCTCTTAGTCTTCAATTAAGTGCATGAATGAACTCAAACTGGATATAGAAACTGATCAGGAACTTTTATTGTGGAAGATCATGGTCATGAAGTTTATGTTCACTCACTGTACGTTTTCCTTTGCGTATTTGCCCATCATTTCCATCATTGTTATTGTACATGAAACTGCGCTACCGCTCTGACCATGGCATTGCATGGGTGTTAACATTGCACTTCATTTTACTTAAGTTATGGATCTAAGTTTTAGTTTCTTGCTGCGAAAGCAAGAAATAATCTGACCATTTTCATAATTGTGTTCTCACTTTAACAATATTTGTTTATTCGAAAATAATGTATCTTCTTGAATGGCTTTTATTAAAGTAGTTTTATGTGATTATTCTTATGTTCTGAATAAGAATATTTTTAACACCGGAGGTTTCATGGAAACAATGTCATGCTCATGGATTCCTCTGCAAAACGTCTTGTACTAGGGTAGGACATTTTGTAGCTTTAGAATGTTTTCAGTCCCTGTTGGTGTTCCTTGATGACACTGAATAAGTTGGAGTATGACCAAGCATGTTTTCATATGAAGGAGACATTGTTTCTTCGCTCTGCTGTGTAGGTAATAGGTTCAATGACTGGTTTATCATTCTGTTTGTACATTTCCTCTTGACTCTAGCCCCAGAGTGGGTTTCAATTGGCGCTTTCATAATCTACCCTGAGGCTCGGCGTTCGATTGCAGCGTTTCGGAAAAGTGGAGAGAAGGCGTTCACTGGTCAAATCAGAAATGGAACAGGAAGGAGTGGATGCGGCCGTGGAGGTACGTTAAGAGCGTCCCACTTCTTTTCTGTTTCAAGAAGCTTTTATTCAAAGCAACCCTCTCATTTACACGGTTTCGCGGTGAAAGTACGCTACGATTTCATTCCTCTTTTCGCCCATGGGCTGAAACCGTTTGTTATTTGGACGATTCGCCAATGAAGTAGCAGTGTCACTGAAAAGAAACTTTTTTTCTTTCGCACAGATGCATAGTTAGAACGTACCGAAATGAAACCTGGGGGCATGGTCGTCCGCCAAGAAAGCAAAATAATACGAATGAAAATTATTGAGACTGAGAGAAAAGAAGAAGCTATTGTATTTTCCTAATCAAATAACTGTCTGAAATTGTACAAATGTAAATCACAAGTCCCAATCGAAAACAGTCAGTTTAGTTAACTCACTGTGGATTGGTCTTCGGACGTCATGTTGAATATATTATTGTTGCCTAAGTAACGTCACGTGAACGTGAATCTGAGCAGCGATTGGTTTCAGTTTTGTCTTGGTCTGGGTTATCAAATTTGATAACTATCCCGGACTGTCTGATTTAAGCAGTTACGTTTGACAGTTCTACCAATTTTGACCAGTTTTACAATTAAGTTTGACGGTTCTACCATCTAGGCAGATAAGGGATCATAACGGTTGGTTTATGGTATGATTTTGGCAGCTTACTTTAAAAGTCATATTCCCTACTCTCTCTCTCCTACTCCCATACCCTTCCCCCCCCCCCTCTAACCAAGACCCGCTCTTATATTGCCACCCCATGGTAATTGTTAATGACAAGAATTCACCGATGGTATCTTTTGTTTCACAGATAAGAGTGAGGCACAACGATGATTAAAATTTTTCCAACGATTCTACAAAACGGGACTCTTTTTTAGACAAACATAGTCAAGTCTGACAGCTCTACCAACTTGGCAGATAGCGCAAATTAAGTAAAATTCGACGGGGCAATATATAAAGATTGTTTTACTTGTTTTAATTTTGTCTCTCTTAATATTTAAATCCTCTGGAAGTAATTTGGAAGCATATTGACTGTCATAACTCACAAGGCGGTTATTAATATCTACAACTAAGTGTCGTGGGTGTGAAGGGACTTTACGTTCATCTAAGAGTTGATTGCTTCTGAAATAACAACACCCCGACCGGGAAGTGAGTAATGACTTTTTAATTCCAGGTCTACGAAGACAATATTGTTATGGCTTAAAAAAAAATTACGAGTGCGCATTATAATCAACGTCAAAGCTATATATTTCGGTAAACGAGAGAGCCATTCTGAGCGGAAGTCGTCTATGGACGACTGTAAGTTGCCGTTTTGTTCAGACTAAATTAATTACGACCACTCGGTGCTCCAAGAAGCCGAATAAGTTTAGTAAGTTTTATAAGGCATGAAACAGTTCCCCTTCATGTTGCGCCAGTAAATGCCCGTTTTACAATTATTTCCATGTCACAGCTCAAAATTTATGAAAGGAAACTTCAACCGCTATTTCTTTTGTAATTTTTTTCTCTGTGTGTGTGTTTAGAGATATAAGACTTTTGGTCAGTTGTGAATCTTGTTTGCTAAAAATAACTACTTATGCATTTCCTCGGAAATTTTCCACTAAGATTTTCAACTTTATTATTATCATTATAACTTTACTTTAATTTTCCGCAGGAAGACTTAATGGGTCGGTTCTTTAAAAGAGAAATAAAAAAGCCGAGCTTTATTCAATTGCTCCGGATAAAAAGAAGAATTGACAATTTACGAAATTGTTTATTTCACAGAAAAGCGTATTGTTTTAAAAACCAGCAAGTCGCGTCAAAAATGCTTTTTGTCGATCTCATAAACCACTCAAACGCGACGTAAAGTTGACACAATGACCTATTCGTAATGAAATATCGGAAGATCTTGACAAATTTAATATCCACACTGAGATGGCTTCCCAATTAAGTGCACGGAACAATACCTGACAAGTTATCTTGTTTTCTTTATTCCGTGTTGCGGGAAAGATATCGCTACCACACCCCAAAAACGATTCCACCGGCAATATTCCTGCCTATAATTAGAGGACAGAGAGATTTCCTCAACAGATCTACACCTGATATGCCCTGATATGTCTAAAATAATACTTAATAACAATAATTCTACTATATCAGCAATGTCAAGTTTCGCTAGATTCTTGTAACACAAAATTTCAGAAAGTAACTTAGCATTTAATCAATCAATTTTCCTTCGTTGTACAAAAAAGACAGTTTAATTAGGAAAAAGTTCTTTGAAAAATTTTTATCAACGCAAAACTTACAAAACCTTTCTTTACTTTTAGGGAATCTAAGATGTCAATGCTTTTTCGTTTTGGATTGTTCAAGTTTCGTTGAAAGAATTGCTTACAACTTGTTTAGTAATATTACACATAAGTTATTTACCCGCATTAAGAAACAAGACTTTCCGGCATTACCAAGAGCATGATATTAAATTTTGATATTAATTTGAGTCATTCGAAGTCAGTAGCGCATTTTTTTGTAAACCTTTTAATGAACAAGCTCGCCGAAATCTAGATTTTATTAATGCAAGTTACAAAATAATATCAAATTTGACAGCTTCAACCTTATTCGTAACTCGTCGGAAGAATAGATTCAGAAACAATCCAATTTGAATTTTCCACTGAGATGCATTCTAAAACTCGCTAGGGCCTTTTTCTTTTCTTTTTTTTTTCTTAGAACAACAGAAAATCGCAACAAGATCTTTCAGTTCTCATGTAAATTTTGCATCGTCATTAACAGGAATATCGAAATTTTGACCAAAGATCTTTATTTAATACGCAATATATCAAAGCAAGAATTTCACCCTTCAAAGATATTTTCGATTGAACGACAGTGTTTAATAAAAGTTATTTCTCCCTCGGTCCTAAGAGTGTGTTGTGCGAGTTAAGAAACCGCCCTAAAGGAAACAAAATGATTGATCAGCGAATAAACAAAACACACAAGCCCCTGCCTTATACAAAGGAAAAACAGAATTCTCACTGCGAAAAATCCGCAAACTATGTATTTGTTGGATTACAATAACGTCACACTGGTCGGCTCCAATTTCCACATCAAAGGACCGACTGTAAGCACTTTTTCACGTTGAAGTCATTAAATCGACGTTTTCTGTCCCTAATGCGAATGGAATAAACCATTTGAGCACCATTAAGTTTGTAAATAAACCGACTAAAGGCAAAAATGACTACACCAGGTGAAAAAAAGCTGATATAAAGCCTGCCGGATTTTAGTTCTATCACCACTGAAGACACCTGCTAAAAATTTTCAAATTACTCGCCATTTATATTGTTTACGGTATTGATGTTTTGCGTATAATTTCCGGCTTTGAACAGGTCTTGTTTTCCTCAGTAATGTTTTGCTTTCATTTTGTTCACAAAGTTTATATTCTTTTGTCGGTCGTGTTTGGCAAAGACAAAGGCGGCCAAATTATTTATGTATGAGTAGTTTTGCTCGAGGCTTTGTCAGATCTTATTCTCATATTAACTGTTCGTTAACGCTTAGGTGAAATTAAACCTGCAAACTCAAAATCGAATAAATTGGGTTCGCTACGTGTGTCTTTTTCTTCTGAATCGAATCCAAGCAGAAAAAAAAAATCGCCACAGTCCTCTTCACAGCCATGTGTAAGAAAAAAAAAATAAAACACAGACAGAGAGTTTTATTCAATGAACTATAACACAAATTAATATTGGTGTAATTTGAAGTCTAAGCAAACAGAACCCATTCAAATCTTGAAGAAAAGGAACTTGAATATTTAACTTCGACCAAAAATTCAATTCATTTGCGATCTCCTTTTGTGCCGCAAAATACTGAAAGATTAAAAATTTGTTTTTTGAAGGACCAGTGAATTTTCGCATTGTGCTGAAGGTAAAAATCTTAGTTCAAAATCAGGTCTTCCTCTTCATCAACATTTTTCTTAAAAAGTTTTTGATCGGTAATTTCGCGTTGTTTTGAAACGTCAAGCCGACAAAACCAGTTGGAATCAATAAATACAAACCATATTATTCAGCAAAATGAGTTTTTTATTATATTGGAAGTGAAAAGTACTTCCCTTCTGTTTTTCTAAATATTCTTTACAATTTTACATAGAGGATTTAGTGTTGCGGCGAACGATTTGTAACTCGTTGCGGAGAAATGATTATTGTTTAAAACATGCTTTTTTCGGAAGCCTGGTCTTCCGAAATAAATACGTTATTACAAGATGACAGTCAAGTAAAAAGCAGCTTACCGAGGTCGTTTATTGTAATTTTCCCATACCTTTGATCAGGTCATGAATGCATTTATTAATTTTCTTTTGGGGCCCGTAGAGCGACATTTCATCTTTCGACCTCGCTAACTTTTATTCAATTTTTCAATTGCCTATCTCGTAGGAAAAGTGCGTGAGAGACATTTTGCAAAGCTTGTGCGGACATTAAACGAAACGGGAGGATAATTTGAGGCGATGAATAATTCTCTCATGGAATAAACATCTTAAGGTGCATCAAGTCGATATCTTTTTGAGCTGATTTTGCCAGTATTTTATCGTTTTGCAACAGGAAAATCCTTTGATTTCGGTGCTAAGAACACCAGATGTGACAGCATAGTTTTCTTTGACACATGAATAAATTTATATAGAACTTCAAATTTTCCTTTTAAAACATATTTTGCTATTAATTATATTTGCAATTTAAAGTCGCCGCAGACATTTAAAACTAACAACGGTATTATTTCTTATTCTTCTTGAGATACTTTGGATTAAAATTTTTATAGCTTTGCTTAAGTTTCCAGAGCTTCAAATGAAGCTTCATATACCTTATAATCTTAGTCCGAAGGACGCATATTTAGTATTTAATAATTGCGAGGGGCTGCTGTCATTTTTAAGCACTAATTTCAACATAAATATTCTTCCATGCGGAAAACTGAATTTTTAAATAAAGTTACTTTTCTTTATCATTTCTCGGACTCTCTGCTATCAAATCGCCACCGGTCTTTATATCCTCTATTATTTCGGTACCACCTTCGCCATCTTTATTTTTATTCAAAACCAGGGCCTGAGGCCTTGTTAACGAAGCATTGATCCTCGCAGAGTCAAACAGAAATGAAATTGGAAAGTTCTCTTTACTTCTTCCCGTGTCTAAAGCGTAAGGGACGTTCCCTGAGGACGTGTTTATAAAATGGGCTTTAGAGAGCGTTGAAATTGGGGTAAAAGCAGACTTTGGGCTTCCTACGAAAGTCTCGTTGCTGCGGATGTATTTGAAACTGTCTGGGCGAAGAGCTGGGTGATGGTATTCTCTGACGGCGTCTTGCGGTAAGCGCGTCCAAGGATTCGGTACTCCCATAAAAACGCTGGCCGCCTCACTTTTGTAGCGCGCGAAAACTTCTTCGATTGCTTGTCCCAAATCGCCGCCACATGAGTGTAAAATTAGTTGTAAGACACTAACTTTGATCTTCGGGAAAACTCGTATTAACAGTTCGATCGCCGACGGACGTCGCTGACCCGCGAAATGCATGGAAGGTTTTTCGGACGGTTCGTACTCACTTGAATAGCGACAGCGTTTTTCTTGCGCTTCCCTGAGTAGAGTTGCTTGGTTGAATCCATGATTCATATCAGTGCCAACCTCGCTTGGACACTTTCTTTTCAGTCCTATGCAGATGCAACAGAAGAGATAGTTTGATTCAGTGGATGTGTAACAAGTTCAATGCTGAAAGAATTGTTAAGTTTTGTGTTAAACCGACAATCAAAGTTGGGTTAACGAATACGGTTAAGGTTCCCACGAACCTAGATAATATTTATTGCCCAAAATTCATAAGTTTAAGGACAATATAAACGCTTCTGATGGAAAATTGTAACATCTTAATAATTTAGACGCACGTTTAAGCGGTTGGAAAGGTGTACTTCTCAGCTAATTCTACTCCTCTTGAAAAGTTCAAATTTTCCCGAGCAGTTGCGACTAGTTTCTTTAAAGCTGTGCTGGATCGCTTGAATCTGTCTCGAATTTGAGAATCGAAGAAAACCTTCTGTTCAAAATTAATCTTAAACGTCTAAGAATCTAGACATTTTTATCGCAAAAATGATTCAAATTGTTACTTTTTCTGTCGAAAAATATGACGCCAATAGCATTTTCCTTAATGCGGTCGTAAATAGGAAAAACTAGCGTATAGAATTTCTATAATTTCCTTAAAATCTACAAGAGTTGTAGAAACGACAACAACTTGGCTCTTAATTGGGCCATTGTCGAACGTAAATATATGTTCCCCAATTTACAATGTCTCTTTCCATTCCAGGAGAATGATTTAAACAGGAAAACTGAGCCGAATTCTAAAAGGTCTTGGTACTCCAGGACACTTGGCTGGTCCTAAAAGAGCGCTTCTCAAATTTACTGCGTAATTTGTCAAGATTAGTCTACAGTGTTGAATTTCGTTGCATTTTTATCGCCTCTAGACAGCGAAAATGATATTTTAATATCTTTTTAACGTGAAACTAAGCAGCAAAATATTGCTTCATTTGGATAGAGTGCATGATACAAATAAATCGCCCATTTTGAAATTATAGCAAAGACCCTTTCAAAACAGTTACTTGCAACATTGGCAAATGGCAGAGGAGGAAATTGAAAGAATTGCTTGTTTCCAAAACTAATATATTTTTAAAAGTTAAAATAAGTTTGCAATACCAAAACAAGCTAGAATTGGCTTGCGGGCGGAATTCAGGGGGGAAATTTTAATTTTCTTTTCCTAATTGAATGGCTAAAGAGCAAAATTCTGCCTGCCAAACTCAGCAGGGATTAAGATCGCCTTGAAATGAACGAGAATCACATAAAACGGCCGTCGAGCAGGTGTGTGTGCTGCTTTTCAAGCATTATTCAGACCAAATTTAGTAATTTTTTTAGTCTCGCTGATCAACGCAACTGGATACCCCACAAAAGATAAGAAAATTTTTAATGAGGGCCTGTTCAAAATTAAACTAGAAAGATACAGAAAAGAAAAACGTTCATACTTTATCGATTTTGGATAGCGCTAATCTTTTCGCAACTGTCAACTGTGGTGTCAGAGCTTGAAGTCAAAACAGCACAATAACAAAACATATATTATCTATGAAAACTTCATTCAAAGCATAAGCTACTTTGAAGGCCAACATCTATTTAGCACCAGACTGGATGTCGTTTTTGCGGCGTTTTGGATAAATACTTTGCCGTAATCCTATAGTTGGGCTTTGAATCAACAGCCCGACCGCGAATGTGTCTTTTAAAAGGTTTTATCATCATTGTGATGAATTCAAGCATGACCCGTCTTATTTAAATACAAATATGATTCTTTGAGAATCTTTCAGTAATTAAATAAAAATTATCAGAATGGTGAATTGTTGCACCTTGCAAATGATGAGGCAAAACGCCCGTAAAAGGTCTGAAAGCCGAGCAGGTACACTCAGTGTGTCCATCCTTGTGCGAAGATCCAATAAAGGCAGTATGCTGGGGATCTGAAAACAAAAGTATTATTTCACAATGAGGATATAGCGCTCTCTGGCAGAATTTTGGTGTTTAACTTTATAGTGATGAATAGAGTGTCGTGTCATTTATCCTCAAACGCTGTAAAATATTATTCTTCATCTTGTTATTAGGTGAATGTTTCCAAAATAATTGTCCAGAGGAAATTAAAGTGTATCCATTCACTGTTTTCTCTCGTGGTTGTTATGGGAAAAACAAACTTCGTAGTTCGGTATTTTTTTTGCAAATTTCCTTATCTATGCAAATTTTCTACCAGCATATAGGCTTTCCTTGTGACCGTGTTTTTTTTTTAAAAGAATTATGAGATATGGATGAAATGTGCCTGTTTCCGCCCTCTTCACGCAATTTTTCATCCTTAAAATGATAAAGCATTCTTTTAGAAGCTTAAGGGTGCCACGTTTCGTTTCCTTTTCTTCAAAAGCAACTGAAATTAAAACCGCATTTCCTCGTAAGAAATAACATTGATACAAAAAATGATGTAATTTACAGTGTATCTCATGGTTTCAGCCCAATCTTCACTCGCCGGGTTTTCTATTGAATTGTCATACCAGAAATTATAAATACATATCTATATTTTTGTAAAACAATGGCAAGTTTCAGCATGACAACTTAAAATTCACCTGCAAATGCCGTATTCGTGACAGGAATCGGTTCGGGGCAAATTTCTCTCACAGGGGACGAGGCTTCTTTCTTTATCTCTGCAAAATAATATGAAAAACAAAAACATACTTTCCTCTTTCGATGAGTAACACATGGCCTGCTTGGATGCGAGCGAAATGGCTCGAAATTTATCTCTCACTCATTAACAAGAACCATAAAATGAAACAAATTGTAGTGTGTTTATAGAAGTTGCTAGGCCGTTTGGAATCGTTCCAAAGGCAGACATGAAATTACCCAAAAATCATGGGAGTGTGGAATTTTCTATAATGGCTGATTTCCTTCAATTATTGGATTAGTTTTTGATTTAGTCTTTTTATCTCTGCCTTTTTGTGAGGTCTGCTATCTTTTATTTTAGTTTTAATCAGCCCACGTCGGTAACATATGGTGACTGCTTGATGGATAATTCAAACGAAAAACCACAGAATGAAACACCTTGAAATGGTGTATCAAAGCTTTAATGATAATACATCGATTTGAAGTTGTCGCGACAACTTCAAATCATACACCGAGCTCTGGCTTGCACTTAGCAAAATTTACAAGCTGAGGAAAGTTTTTAAGAAAATCAACAATTTCGATTCGGTTTTCTAAGGAAGTAAGTAGGGTTGCGCGTGATTACATAGGCGAAAAAGTGATGTTATTAAAACTGTGCTCATTAAGGGCTTTTGTGCTCTTTCAAGTTGAAACTTTTTGCTACAAACTTAGGTGCAGTCAATTGTACAAGAAAGCGCACAGGTTGTGGTTATGTTTTTTTTTTTATTTCATTTAAGCGTGAAAGAAGTTTCTAGATGTCTTTGAAGCCGTTAAAAACAATTTCAAGAAGCCTTAGACTGAGTAGAAAACTTCAATTTTCAAGGCATTTTCCATCCCCAATTGCGCTTTTTTTCTTTACTTAATTGCTTGTTTGAGATCAGATGGTTGCTTAAAGCAAATTCGTTTGTTAAGTGATAAAAAGATATTTCAAATGTTTTTACCTGGTTCGGCGCTAGTGGAAGTCGGAGAAGGACTTCGCGGCGAAGGACTCTGATTGTTGCTACCGCCAACTCTAGTCAAAGCCGTGAACACATCTCCCGGGGGTAGCGGGCTGCGCTGTTCCTGCATCTGCTGGCGGCGTAGTGCTACCTGAGCTGCGAGAACGCGCTGTCGTTCCGCAATCAGAAGACATTTTGGGCACATGCAGTCCCTCCATCGGCAGAATCCCTTGTGGCCCTTCAAGATAGAATCGAAGCCGTGGTTCCGACAGCGCGCGCACTTTGGAGTGCGTTTTTTCTCGGCTTCTTTACTGATCGGGCTATTTCGTTCGCTACTAGTTGTAGTAACATTGCTTGTTAAACTGCCGCTTTGCGAAGAATAACTCATTGTGCCTCTCCGCTTACTGACTGTTGTTTTTCGTTGTGCACACAGCGTATCGCCTGGTTATGAACCCCGTTGAAGACCAAGTCGCTTGTGTTGTGAGATATCGTATCGATATACAAGTTGGAATGTAGATTTGATACTGTTTTATATAGACGCGGCCACAAGAGCTCGTCGCCAAAGAAAAACGCAACTGTAAGCGTGATTGGTCGCTCACAGAGATTCATGTCACTTACGGAGCTAATGAGCCGAAAGATCCTTTTGTTAAAAACGTCCGTTTATTGGTCAAGTATTGTCGTGCGGGGGGACACCTGCGCCGTTGGTTTTTAAAGCGGTGGTCATTTCAGTGTATGCGTTGAAGACAGCAGGTGAAGTCCGACTCAAAAAAAAGAAAACTTTATCCGTAAACACTGGCAAACAAAAGCCGTAAAAGGGAGCGACATAAAAAAATTGAGATCCCCTCCAAAAACACAATCCAGTCGCCTGTTAAGTTTCAACTTAATAAGATCAAAAGAGCAAGGCTCCCCTTTGAAAAGGCATGAAAATAAAAGTAATCGACAGAGTATTTCGTAATGTATCGAGAGCACGCAACGGAATATAATGTGTGGGGAGGTTTTATTAATCAGATTGCCTCTTATCTTAGAGCAACAACAATTTTAACAACAAATCAAGAGGTCGAATATCGTTGATTACTTACTAGAGGTGTTTTGAACTTGGCATGTCGCTATTTCCTCAAATTTTCCCCCGTGATATATTCTTTAATCTCTTAATCAATGAACATACGCGCCTTTTAAGTGTAATTAAAACTTCGGGGTGATTTCAGACGTCGTGGAGTTTGTTTTATCATATAAATTCCCTTTTCACAAAAAGGAAGTCCCTTTGAGAGTTAGTCTTGTATTAAAACTCGCTTCCTGTCCAAAGTGAATTAATAATTCATTTTCGCCTTCCTTATGGCACCTTGAAGCGAATTCAAATTGCTTTATAATTTCATAAGGGAAATAATTGCACTCTCATTATAACACTTAAGAATTCGAAAATAAACAGAGCAAACAACGTTTGAAGTTCTTTGAATCACATTTGAAAAAATGAACTTTCCTCTTTAATGCATGTGCTTGGACTTGTGTGTACTTTTCCCCGTCCGGTTTTACTGCGTTTTATTCTCCGATCAAACATAAACTTCTTGGTTTAATTTCAAAAGAATAACAAAACAGGAGAGGACTGATAAACTCAAATAAACAGCTAAAAATCGATGACAACGCAGGTGGCCAAGCTAGAAACGTACCGTCGCTGCCTCCTAAACAGTTATTCATAGCGTATTTTTAAGATATATTGGGTTAGATTGAATTATTACGGCGACATTTTAACCTCCTGCCATTAAAACAAAATTAAATAAGCTTTTGCCGAGCGCCTCTCCGTTACATTGTCTCAACGAGTTAACAATTTTTTTTGGTCTATATTCATTTTGTTTTTCCTCATTGGAAAAATATCCGTTACACCCGAATCTTGAAAATAACCGTCCGTCCCTAATTCATTTGAAACCAGGCGTTTTTTTCTTTTTTTCCGAAAGTACAGAGTAATTTGTTGATGTTATCTGCTAAGTCACCCCTCTAGAGCGCTGTAAATTTGATTTGTATAATTTAACATTAAAGTCAATTTTCTTCGCCTTTTGATATTCGTTGATATATCTTTATGTAAAAGTCGCCGCAACAGTTTCCTCGTCACACTTAGCGCTATCACGTTTCATTCGAGATTTTATCAGCTGTAGGTTTTTAGAACAAAGTCAAAACCCGGAGCGTTCAGCAAAGCTCATTAAGGTTTTAACGAGATAAAAAACATATATATATATATATATTGTAGGGAAAAAAGATGATTTTTCCAAAATTAGAAATGAGACTCAGTCATAAATGTTTTCGCTTTTGTCAACAATTCAAGCTAAGGCCAGTGTTTTGAACTGTATTTTCTATATTTTTCTTGAATTGAAAGAACTATTTACAAGCAGAAAATTAGGGCCTGAATTCACTTCAGTGCATCAACTACGTTGCATCCGGCAAGAAAATACATCCTTCTATTGTTTAGATACCAATTGCAAGTACTTTTCAGTTTGTGTTTTTTAGAACTAATAACCGAAAATTAGCTGTGAAATTTTGACCGGTACGAAGCGAGTTGATAACATAGTTTTCATGCTGTTAAAACTCGGTATGGTTTCAACTCCCATAGATGAGGTTAAACTTAATGATTATATTTCTTCCAACAACCATTGTCTTTGGGTGGTTTTCTACAAATAAGCTTATTCAATAACGGAAAGTGGGATTTTCATTCGAAAATCATATTAAAAAGCTTTCTTTCCCCTCTATCTGAGTAAATTACAGCTAAGTTCTCTTTATATGCGATGTCCGCAAAACTTTCTGGAGTCCACAGGACATCTCAAGCCATAATTTGTCAGTTTATTTTAAGAAATTAATTTCATTAATGTATATAATATACTTGATTCTCCAAAAGAACAAGTAGATTGATAAACTTCCAGAAAAATAAAAGGAAATAGATTCCAGGTTAGAAATACAACCTAATTTGTTACATGATTTCTAGAACGTGTGTTCCTTAGTGGAGAATATGCCTTCACACTGAGTCAATTAAGCATCAGAGAATTGAGGAAGTTTATAATTTGATTTTATTTTTCACCTAATGGATGATGCTTCTCATTTTACTCGTTCTTTCATCTCAAAATATAACTCAAAACAACCCGGGGCCTCGAATGGCTCGATAACTCGACCACGATAGCGTTGCAAATCTTTCTTTTCAAGTAAAAGCTTGCGTGCAGAGCCAACCTAAGATCCTGTTAACTCCTTCGATAACATCGACATAAGACTTGAAGCGATAACCAATTTTACGGTTTAGCTAACATTTAGCTTCCCTCTTAAGTAACGTCTCGAAGAGTTCATTGCCCATAGCAGCGGAAACTGTATTGTGACGCGGATTTTAAAATGGTATTTAATGCCAGTTTTCGCCTTCTTGTGTGTGGAAGATAAGCGAAAGCTGAGATAAGCAATTGATTTTCGTGTTCTTTACCTATATAAGAGGTGTTGCTATACTTCCTAAGGGTGGGCCGCTCGTAGTTATCCGATAACACAATACAAGACTCACATTTCTCTCTCCGTCAACCACAAGCTTACTTGTATATCGTAATAGCTTTACCGAGCTAGCAGTTAAACAAATAAGGTGCAAGCAAAAATCGAGAAAAAAAAGACAGCTTTAAATGTACTATTGAGCCAGAGAAGAAAGAACGAGATAAATGGCTGTTAAAAAACACAAATGAAAGGCGAGAAGATAAGGATTCACGCGCGTTCCTTATAAAAGAAAAATATTCTTTTAACGCAATATTATGCTATTGTTGTATATTGCATGCAAATTTTGAGCTTTATTCCTGTTAGCCTCTTCAACACGCACGATATTTTGGAAAAGCTAAACTAAACTACAGCAATGGAGCAGTTTTACATTCTACAAAGATGTTCTCAGTTAAAAATCGTTACATAACATTTCTCATTACAATTCTAATCACGAACAATCTATCAAAAGCATAAAGTCTACCACCAATTAAAATTTAATAGGTACGTTTTTATTCATGCAATCCACCAGCTTCATCCCCCTTCCTTTTTTTGTGTAAGATTTTTGCTTTAATCGAGTCGTGTCCAAGAGAAGTTTCATCTATTCTTGCAGTTTTGATCGCTTGCAGAATTGCAATTTGATTATAAAACAACTTCGAAAAGATGCTGGTATCAAATGCATCAACAGCAACTTTCAACCGCTAAATTTCCTAAACATGCATTAGCAGAATCAAGGGAATATAAATACAAAGTTAGACGGCAGACAATATTTAACGTTCCACTCAGATACGATTCAGATTTGAATCAGAAAAATGCGGCAAGTAAGATTGTTTCATGTCCTTTCAAAACTTAAGTAACAAGGCGAACTTTCTGTAACAAAAACAATGCAACACGATGAAATAGTTTCAGCGGATTTTCTCTAATTTAAACACTACAAGATTTACTACAACAATGGCCAGACCGAAAGGTCTGTTTCAAATTAAAAAATCTTTTTTCAGGAGGTTACGCTCATTAAGTTACTTCAGGTGGCCTCGTGGGACAGGTTTGTAAGAATCGCTACGTACAAATTGAAAATAAATGACAAGGAACTTAAAACCATTGTGCGGTGTAAATTAAGCGAAATTTTTCATCGTGAATGGATCACTCAATTATCGGGTTCTTGTTAAAGGCAAATCGCATTTTCAAGTCGGTAGAAAAGGATAATCAGACAGGAAAAGTACGAAAAATGATGTTCCACGGCATCTAATCCGCTTGATGACAAAACTTCGGCACTCTCACATTTTCAGTTTTGTTTCTGAATATTTACAACGCACCGAGGAATCTCAGAAACAGACAGTTATTTTGTAACAAATGTTTATTAGCAACTCGTGGCTCAAACTCCATTCTTTCGCCATTAGTATGTTTACAAAGTTAGTCACGTACAGGGCTTGGGAAAACCGGGTTCAATAACAAAAGATTAGCAAAAGATTTTGGTTAACAGAGCTGGGCACCTGTGGTTGAAATTGGATGAATGAAAATGAATTAAAGGCTACTCGCGCCTGATCAATGGAGCAAATTTTGATATCTTTAAGATTACAACTCAACAATAGGTACATAAAAACCGCAGCAGAAAGAACAGATATTAATGTTAAAAGAACTTTTAAAGTATTAAAACAAAACCGGAATACTTCTCTCATTTATACCATATAATTTCATTTTCGACTTAACTTTGCTTTTGATTCGCATCGTATGATTATAAATTATAATTATTTGGCACAGCCTAAAAAGAAAGCCGCAGAAATGACTACAATGATTGGTTATTTTTAAAAAAAGGCTGAAAGGCCCAATTTCGTTGAAGAAACTACTTGTTGTAGGAGTTTCAAGAATCAAACACGTTTTAGTGTAGGAAATGATGCTCGACGTGAC